AGAGTTTTCTAAACTGATTTATGCTTTGGTGGCCAGAAGGAGCCCAAGTCAGACCAATGGGCGACAGGAATGACTCCAGAAGAACATGTTCCCCCTCCCCAGCCACTGCCAGTGCTGAGGGCAAACCTGTTGTGCAGCACAGCAGAGCTACCAACTTCATATGGAGGTTTAGTCCTACACAGATTTACTCTCACTTGGGCAGGACAAAGGGAAAATTTCAGAGCAAACTCAGGAGGTGCTGAGACCAACTGATGCTGCCATCAGCCACTAGGAGACCCCAGAAACTGCCATCATCCTCAGATTGCAGTTCCTCTTGGAATCCAAGATTCCCAGAGGAAAACTAAAAAACAGCAGAATATGGCTGCTGGAGGCTCCCACCTTGCAGATGCTGGGAAGAAACTGCTGGAAGAGCCTGTTTTTACCATCCACAACACTGCAGCAGTGAGGCCTGGAGGCAGCAGGCAAATCACTGCCACCAGCTGTCCCCAGTGCCACTGCTGGGCTGCAGCAGGTCATGGTGTCCAAAAGCACTGGCTCCAGCCCAGCCCTTGTTCTGCAGAAGCCAAGAGCACAAAAGAAAGAAGGGACTAATCCATCCTCTGAAAGTGGCAACAGAGGGTGGGGGTGGTCCCAGAAATAAAGTTCCAAACCCAAGAAACCTTTCTGAAGGCTTAAACATTGAGAATTCATCTCCTACAAAATCAAAGCTAGCAAGAAAACTGTTATGGATGGCAAAACAGCTTGTCCGAACTGCTGCAGGTCTGGAGTAGAATTGCTTCTGAAAGGCCTGAAGCTGTTGTTTGGAGCGACTCCTGGCACAGGAACAATGTTCTCACCCAGACTGGCTGCTGGCCACTACAGCTAGGGCAGAGAGCAGAGGCTGGTGGCTCCAGCCCCACACAAAATGAGCCAGACAGGAATTTAGTTAGAGAGGATATCCTCTGAGGGATTTTAGTTTGGAATGAGACCCTCCCCAGAGAGATTCAAGGTGTAAAAAAACCCCCAAAAACAGTGCAAGAGAAACCCTTAGCAGATACCCTCAAAGAGGTAAATTAAAAATCAATGTGCATGGCACAAGGGAGAGATTTTTCTTTTGAAAAAAAACCTTTCATCTAAGAAAACATTCTTGTGCCAAGTTTCCCATTTTTATTAAAATCAGTTATATTAGGAAACAAAACCCCTTCAATTGTCATATATTGGCTTACCTGATCTTTACCCCTTGCTGCTCAAACACAGATTGCTTGCAAAGGGAAATATTAAATCAAAGGTAGCAACACATGATGTATGGCAGCTCAAAACCTGGAACAAGGAAGTTCAACTAGTTGCCATTTCATAGCCAGTTACTCCCTCTGCTGTCCTATTCAGGTCTGGAAGCAGAAGAATGCATTGGGAAGACAGTTTTAAGGCATTTTCTCTGTACATGACCCCAGTGCCACAGCAGATACACCAGAGCTTTTGGTGATATTAAGAAAGGCTTCATGTCAGCTTTGCATGTAGCAGTTGAGCCACGTATCTCTGCAGTGTTTATCCTCACTTGACATTGGTCAGTCCAAGCTGTGAACCAAGGCCGTAGGAAGGAGCAGCAGGATGCCTGCACATGCTGTTGTTTGTAGTTGAGCTGTGCTGCTTGTCCTTCAAAGGGCAGAAGTGTAATTCCAGCAATTGATGTCTGATTTTCAGAGTCAGCTCTGGTCTCAAGTTTTAAGTCTCAAAACTATGCACAAACCTACCCAGCAAAATAATGTAGGAGTTCCTAATGCAATCTTATTGTCCTAAAATAGAGTAAGGATTCCCACCCTCCATTTGCATCTCCAATGTCTTTGTCTCTCAGACATTTCCCCATACAGAAATCCCACCATAGAATCTATATTGAGCAAGACATCCATAAAAACAAGCATACCAGGCAAACTTTAGCTATTTGTCAGAATCACTCTCTTCATGTATCCTACAAATACTGCAGAACAGAACAAAACCAAACATATGTCTGCAATTAAAACCACCTTCCCACACACTTTTTAATTGGGTCAATGAAGAAGAAAAATAAAAATCAACAGCTGAAAGACATCTTCAAATGGAGCACTAGAGAAAAATATAATGACATTTCATGAGTTTTCCAAATGAATTCATCTGGGTAAGAAATGACCTGCCTAAAGAGTCACGTCAGTATCAACTCTTGTCTCCAAAGCAGCGTCCCTTCCATGATTCAGTATAAATCTGACGTTTTAAAAATTAATTAAGTCCCCAATGGTCTTATGAACTTTATGACAATTTAATTAAACTTTCAACTATGAACAAGAACTGTAAGTAACTTATCACAAACCCTTGTGATTTAGACTAAGCATAATAAACTCAGCTCTTGTTAGGAAAGACTTGATTTTGAATAGTTTAACTTGGAAGAAATTCCTGCTCCTTCATTCTTGCATACTGAAATGATGGAGTTTTTCTGCATAATAAATAAGGCACAGCTCAAACATTCCACCCAATTCGTAATCATCATAAAAACTCTTGAGGCAACCAGGAAATTTTTAATCCTCTTGTGAGACTGAAAATTTACCTGGAGATAACTGGATACAACAGTGTGACAGAAACACCTTAAAAGCTGATGATGTGGGGGTTGTCCTCTTCTGGAACATGGGCAGCATAGAAACTTGTGTCCAATTCCCTGCTTCTTAGAGCAGAAACCCAGGCAGGCACCTGGGCAGCTCACACCGCAGCTCCCTGAAGGCTAAGCCCACCAGGTCCATCACACCTGTGTGCTGCCAGATGTGACAGGAAGCTCCTGCTTCAGCAGTGAAGCCACTGTTGGATGAGAGGCATGGACTGACTACTGTAACATGGAATTCCTTGGAGCCCTGGGCCCATTTCAGCATCAGCTTCCCTCAGAATGCAGGATTGGACGGGGTCCCCTTGGCTGCCACCATTCTGTCTTAGGCTGCTGCCTGCCAAATGGAAGACAAGCCCAGTGAGAAGTTCACAAAACACCTTAATTAACTGAGCTATGCTCACTCCTGACAGCTATTCCTGAAATCTTTTTAGCAAGAAGCAAAACCTTCCATCTTTTATGAAGATGCTCTGTTTACGCAGCATTATGTACTTAGGTATAAGACTTTACAATTTATTTATCTTAAACCTTATCAACTGGTGCTGCTGAACAACTAGTGCACTTACAACAGCACTAAAGAGATAAGGTTTCACTACAGTGGTGTTCAGCAGGAGGCAGTATAATTTATACGAGAAATCAGTCAAATATTAGGTACTTATATCTTACCTGAAAATGATTCCTTGAAAAACAACTTATGCTTTTGAAGGCCAATGCAATTATGTATTATTTTAATCTTAATGCTGAAGGAAAACAGAAAGAGCATGTTTACAATATTAACAGTTAAGAGAACTTTGTATTGCTATCCACTTATGCTGTCTACACAGCTTTTAGACCTGTATAAAAAAACTCAACATGAATCACATTCACCTGTCAGTTGGGTGTAACCACAAACCACAGCTAAATCAGTTTAAGAGGAGTTACAGGGATAGAGCTTAACAGCGCTAGACTGTGAACACAGTACATACCACACAGCAGTATCATGATGTGCTCACGCTTCTGGTGAAGCACCTCAAGGCACTCGGCAAATGTTCTTACCATCTGCAGGAAGAGTTGCTCCAAACTTGAAGGGCTCAGCAGGCACTGTTGTCAGCCACTCTACACTGAGAGGTAGAGTATCTTGAGTTTTCCTCCTCTGGGACATACAAGGGGGCAGGCAGGCACTAAGGGCCACCTCTGAGATCAAAGGCCAGGAGACAGGCAGCACCTCTCCCTCCCCAGTAAGTTTCAGTCCCGTGTGTCCAGGCCATCTGGCATTGGCTTGAATTTGAGAAGAGAACATCGCTGGACCCCACATCACTACAGTTCACTTGTGGAGAGCTTTCCGTACCTGCAACCCTCAAATTATGCAGTACTACAACAACTTCTAATCAAACCATTTAATATCTAATTTATCAAAGTAAGAAAGTAACTTGTTTTCTTTTTCACTGAACCATGGTGAAAAAAGGTCATTGTTTTATTCAGCATCATAGTTACATAACAGTTGTCTGTTTCTATTACTAGAAAGAATTTATTAAAATAGTCCTGAAAGACATCTTTTCTTTTTCCAATGATTTCAAAACTAAGCCTTTTAATGCCAATTCCACAGTCACGGGTTTGATCGGTAGTAGCCATTTATAGCAATTGTCAAGGCACAAGCTCAGCTCTGCACACCCGCTGCAGCTTGTATTGGATATGCCAGTTACATCTGCACTTACAAATGCATAATCCCTTCATCGTATATTGCAACAGGAGAAATTAACATTAAACACAGACTAAGAAAGGTAAAGGATTTATTTCTGATATGATTTGTAAAATTAAATTAAAAACCTACTGAATACTTTATGTAGTAGATGAACATAACCTTAGTACTTACTTTCTAACAGTTTATTTAATGGTTGGAAGTGTACAACATGAAGTAGGCCTCACGTTTAATATTGTTCAATTTTGCTTATTGTTAGATGAGATTAAAATACAGTAGCCATCCCTTTAGACTATGGTGCAACACTGATCATGTGCCTTGATAGGTAGGAAAAATGATTCATTAAATAAATGATGATGACATAACATGTAGGGAAGACTTTGGATTGTCTATTTTAAATGTCAACATAATAGGCAATTAAGAATAGAACTTCATTTTAAGTGCACTTCCACATGCTTTGTTTATAATATAGCAAAAACTTCCTATCTTTTTTCCAGACACTTCACTCCCTACTCTAAAGCTGTTCAGTTGAAAATGCACTTTCCCCAGTAAACGTCTTTTTTTAAAAAAAGTAACTAAAATTTCTACCCTTTCATATGCTAAGAAATGTTTCCTAATTAAAAACACAGTTTATTACAAGACATGTGAAGACAACATATAGTGAAATGAATTTTAATTGTTGTGCTGTGACTAAAGTAAAGTTCTCAAGGCTGCAATTTAACATTCCAAGTTCTCCCTTCCATCTTTATTGATTCTTAAGATTTTGAACAGAAACTCTTTGGGGGCTAGAACAGCAGTAATTGCATCACACTGTTTTTCAAGACTTCAAGTTTCCAAAGCAAACTCCTCAAAAAGTACAGTTCTTGATTTGATTAGATACAGGGACAAAAATATAGCACATACTTGAAGGTTACATGGTCTACAAATGATGGCAGTATTTTCCTTGGGAGAGTACAGTTTGTTTTCTTGTAAATACTCAAAAAGGCTCAACTTCAAGCAGTAATAAACACAAGCAAAAGTGATTTAACCCTTAAAATAAATATTCAGGAAAACCTCTCTGTACATACAAGTGAAAGAATATGTAACACTTTCACGCTAAAAGAAAAAATAAAGATTTTGTTCATATAAGCAGCTGAAATCTGCTGTTCCAGCCCAATGTCCCCAGTAAAGAAGGGAGGCACAAACACAGGTGACTACTGTAGCTCACTATCTTATGGCCTTTTTGGACAGGGATATCATCACCATCATTTTTTCATCCCTTTTGTTATACTTATTACAGCATGCCAAATCCTTTGGCATATGTGATGGCCTTCAATAATCTTTCTTTAAGCTTTTCTTTGCTTGAGTACTCCGGAAGCAAAAGTACATTAAAGCATGTGTGAGATGTAGGTAACCTGTGGGACAAAAAAATATAAGAATTCAGATCTTGTAACATGCAAAATAAATACATCTCTATTTTACAAGTTCAAAAATAATGAATTTGAAGAAAATAAAATTTCCTTATAGATTCAAATTTCAGCTTTAACTAGGTTTTACTAGGTCAGTAATTTAAAACCACAGAATTCACCTCCATTTATAAAAAACAAGCAAAATGTAGAATGTATTTTTCTTTTTTTACCTCTCTGTATCTGGGCCATTTTTGGCTATGATCATCTTTAACTTTCCAAGTCCTCCCACAGGGGCTCTGTCTGTGCCTGTTGTAAACTGTAAGAATAGTCTTTTCTGTTCATCTGTAAATGAATGGACTATTTCCCAGAATTCCCTAACAAAGAAGAAATCAAAGAGTAAATAAACTGTAAAACTTTCTTTGGTATAATTTCAAAAGTAATTGAGCTTTGAAGGTGTAGTAATTTTAATCAGTCTTAACATCAAGTTTACAAGTTGCATTCATAAACCAAAACTCTCAGAATATATTTACCAATAAATGAAATTTAGAAATAGAGATCAGAAAATATTACTAAAGACTGCAGTTTAACAGTCTTGAAACATTAATTTGGCTGTGTTCTGCAGACATTATTCATGTTTCCTAAGGAATTATACTGATTCAACAACGCATATATCCTCTCCTTTTTGCTACTGACAATACTTGAGAAAATTGAAATTACACATATGGCATTTGCATCTCCAGTACTACAAAAATACTAAAAAATACAATATTAAATTCATTATGAAGAAAAAAGCAGATTAAGCTTTTTATCTTTACAAAATCAGAAAGGTTACCTAATAATAAGAGAGTCTCTTGTATAGCCACCATCATATTCTGTAGTTTCTTCTAGTGCTTGAAAATCTAAATTCTGTAAGAAGATGATATATTTAAAGATGACCACTATTTATATACTCAGGATGAAAAAAAAGCTCCACTCCCTAGTGTATATTCAAAATTCTTACCCTACTTCCACAAATAAGTAATTCAATTTCCTCTGGTCTAAATAAATATTTCAAAGGAGATTCATTGGTCACCATGTGGAATCCTCTCCGAAAGGCCTTGAACTGCTTTTCAACTGACTTATTGAGTATATAGTCAGCATACAGATTGACAAATTCCTGCAAGGAAATAGATGCCAAAAACCTTAGTGCTTCAACACATGCCACTTCAAGTACCTCCCAAAAATACAAGACCCCAGAACACATATAATTCTGTAATTCTACGCAAATTATCCAAGCTCAATTTTTTTTCAGCAACACAAAAGAAAAAGTCTCAAATACTGTTCAGACAGGTCAAACATCCCACCCAGAAGCTCTGTACCCACGTATCAATGCCTTCTTTAAGAGAAGCCTTTTCTCTTCACAACCACACTGTGCCATGGCAATTTTAAAAGCCTTTAAAACTTAAAATTTTTAAGTGAGACCAAACCTTTGTAGGGTTCTACATAATTCTACATACAGTATATCAAAGAACTACAGATTGTGTTTAAAAAGCTGAGTGTACCTTTCTGTTTTCATTTGTAATAGGAATTTTATCACCGTTTTCCTTTAAATCATGCATCATTGGATTGCCAAAGAGATCCGTGTGAGATATTTGAAACGTTATCATCATATCATCTTCCACACTTCCTTCATACTCTAGTAAGTCTCTCAAACTCTGATACAGAACCTAAAAGAATAAGACAAACATGTCTGTCAAAATAAACTTTGATAGATTCCACTAAGTAACACAAGAGGACATGAGACCACCAGCCCCAAAAAAGGGATGTTATATTCTATGACACAAGTCACCTAAAAATCTCTCAGCAGTCCAAAAAACTGTTTAAGCTCAGTATCTGTAAAGAGAAACAATAGAAGATACTAAGATAAAAAGAAACCTTGCAATCAGTGATAACTCCCTTAAAAGAGCCTTTTAGTACTCATCAATCTTCAAAAATGCAATGGTCAAACCTGCAGTTTAAGAGCCTTTAATAACCTCTTCTTTTAAGTCTTTTGAACCTTTACTTAAGGCATCAAGAATATGTTACACTACTAAGAGAAACGTTTATGAGTTAAAAATCAAAGAAACTCCTGTATTTTGTATCAGATAAAATTCAGACAGTAGGCTTTTATCTTCTTATTTAAAACTCAAACCAACTAGGAAACAATCCTGAAGCAACACAGATGAGGCAGTCTTTAACATAAGAAGACATTTATGAACCAAAAATAAAAATTCACAAGTTATGCCACAATATACCAAGTGGAATCTGAAACTACCAGTAAGAGTTTGCTCTATTCAAAGGAGCAACCAGTCTTCCTCCCTTAGGAAGAGCCCAAGATTCTCTTGGAAACCAAAGACTGTGCAGCAAAGGAATAATTATTTGGCTGCAATAGAGGTGGTAGGGATTTAAGCATACAAAGTGAAGGTGAAAGCAACAACTGTGTGCAACTGTATTTTTATACTGCAGTAATAAAAATAATTTTCTCCACAATGTTTTAATTGAAACATGGAAGTTTACATGTAAGCCTCAACCTCTCACTATCTATGTGGTTTTGATTCTTCCACAGGACCTTTAAAAAAGGACCTTGCACTGAAAATCACTGGACTTAGAACCACTGGTGGTGAGGGCTGGCGAACATCCTGTTCTCTATGCTCTACAGCATTAGAAAAAGCATTGGGAGGCTTGACTACTGTGAACTTCATTTAATGTTTGAGAAGCTCTGAAGTGTTTAAGTCCTATGAGAACACAAAGAGTTAAAAAGGATTATTTTAAAATAAATCATCGTAGGTGTTAGAGCAGAAACATAAGAGCAGGGAAGAAAAATGCCCTGACTGCCCTGTTCCATAGAAATACATCCACTCTTTCTGATCACAAGAAGTTCTGAGTATATAATAAAAGTTAGAGGAAACTCAGGGCACTATTTCTCGACATTATTATACACAGAAACTGGTTGAATCTGGCATACTGTTGTATGCAGTCATCCAAAGCAGACCAGATAATGTATTTTTTGATTACACATGCCTCATTTTCAAAAATGAAAGCCAAATTCTTTTTAGACAGTATAATTTTCCTATTTTTTTTTTTAAGATGAAGATTTTGTATAACTGCTTATAAAAGGCAACTGTCCCATGGTTTGAAACAAAATTAAGCTTACTAACAACTCCTACCAGCAACATGAGGGGACCACCAGTGGCAACTGGTGATCTTTGACTGCAGGAGGAGCAGGGCCAAGACATCCTGCACACACACTTGTGTGCTCTATCTAATAAAGCACATGTACAGCTCACTGCTTGTGTACAGCCACTGGCTGGCAATGTGTGTGGGAAGATGGACACTGATCACGGCTCTGATAGAAATTCTGATAGGCATATTCATTAACTGTAGAGATTAATTAATTAAGCTGCCTCATCTGTCTCTTGCTTTAGACAAAAACCAGTAAGAACATCACACCTTTGCATGTTACTCTTACCTACACTTTCTTTTGGTAGAAATTTAATTCTACAAATAGCTATAAACAGCCAAATTTTAGAAGTCTCTTTGGGAAGAGATGTGCTTGTTTATGCTTAATAACATTTAGGAGTTTATGTAGTAAAAAAATAGAGCTTTATTGATACTGAGCCCTATTCATTGATGTTACAATTTTGTCTCCTCCAAATGTAGCAAGAAGTTATATTGCTTATGAATTTATTTTAACATATACAGACTCAATGCAAATCACTGGTTATTTCACTTTCACTTGTGACAGTGATCTTGTGTTTAGATTAAATTATTGCATAGAAAATGTACTATAAAACTCAAAGAACATAACGAACTTACAGGATGAGAGTCTGCCAGATCACGGAAAGTTCCTTTTTTGCCCATTAGCTTCCTGTAGACAACCATGGGGAAATGTACATCCAGTATACAGTTGTTGTAAATAGCCAGTCCCAAAACTATGCCAATCAGGGTAAACTGACCCTCAGTTTCAAAAGAGGACGGATTAAACCAAAACAGTTTTGTAGACTCATCATATGTGAACATCCCTGTTAAAAAAAAAAAATAAAAGTTGAACAATTATGGTTACAGTTCAATAAAAATGCTACATAAAACATACCATTGTATACCTATTTGCACTAGCCTTTAAGACATGTTTAACTTAACATTATAATGAATTGAATGGCAAAGAGAAACTACTTACCTAAGGGTGACTGGAGCTGCTCAAAACACTGTTACTCACATTACCACTAAAAGTGTGCAAGACAACTGTGATACAATATCTTGCAACACTCAAGCTGCATATACACAAACTTTGATCCTCTTCACTACAGAGGAACCAGCAGCACACTGAAAACAGCGACTGTGACTTTGATAAATACAGTAGTACAAGAAAAGAACAGTCAAAAATGTGGATGAAACAATCCTGAATTACTACAAAGTGACAGCCTTTCCTCAAAGGCCAGTTCCAGCAAATGAACAGGACTTAGATGCAGTCCTACTACTTAATTAGAAGGTATGATGATGGAGCAGGGATTGGCCATCACACATGATTTTATTTAGATTAGTTTGCTTGTTCCAAGGACCATTGTTACTGCAGCTATTATACACATTTTAACTCAATGAGGGGAAAATGGACCACGGCCTTACAATAAGGGGGTTGCAATTTTAACAGCTTGTCACTGTCTAAAGGGAATGGTTTAGCTTCTCTCATTCAGTTCACTTTATCAGGTGACCAATTTCCTGCCCAGCTCATGAGCTGAGCACTGAAGACTTCAACAAATAGCTGAACTGGTACATGCCAGAAGTTGCAGGGAGGAAACGTGAAGACAAGAGACAGGCACAGTTCCTTACCCTTTTGGCTGTAGTAAGATACAAGATAGGTCTTGTTTATGCAACTGGAGTGTACAGGCTATATATTATTTAAATGAAGTCCACAATAAAATCCACTGCTTACCTGTCTAGGTACTGAAGCAAGATAAATGCAAACCCCAAAGATTTAAGGTGAGAGAGAAACCACCCTGAACAGGTACAGCCCAAATCACCTGTTGCTTGTACAGCTGTCAGAATTTTCCAGCAGTCCCTAAGAAAACCTTCTCCTTATTCTCAACACACCCTAAGTCAGATCCATGTGGTGAAGCATATCAACTACATTTTCCACAATGTGGAATTTTATCTTGTCAGCTCTTAAAAGATATGCTTGTTTTCAACCTATGCAGATGTATAAACTGATTACAAAGCCACATGAACACAAGATTACTTTAAAGACTGAAAATATCATCTTCAGTCATGACATAAAGACTCTTTCCTCATTCCATGTAAGGCAATAAACTGCAAGCTCATTCAAAGACTCTGGCTATTCCCCAGAATGCATTATGTATCTCAGTAAGTGACTATAAGGGTTGGGTCAGCCATTAGGAGAGCACACAAATAACAGACTGACCCATCAGATAAGGCAACTGGAAATCAGAAATGGATGAGCAAATCAGGAATATATAGGCCAAACATTATATAGAATCCTGTATGCCGTTTTCTGAACTGAGGTAACTTCCGGATTACTGATACATAAAGCAATGTCTTGAACTTTTTGGAATAAGATGGAAAAGTTGAACTGTCAAAACAAACAACTCCAGCAAATGTCTAATAATGAAGGATCAACAGTTTACTCAGATCCACATCTGGAAACAATTTAAGGTGAAATACAGTATTTTACTCCCTTACCAAAATTAAGACTACAGCACATTAAAATCATAATAAAACATCAGAAGAAACAGGAATCTGCAAGAAGGGGAAAACAACTGCCCTTGAAGCTACATGAAGTTATCACTTCTTCTTCCCCTTTACCATGGAATACCTTTACCAGTATTTTTTGTGAGTTACTGCCTCCTTTGAGTAAAATTTTACGGTAGTTTAATATGGAAATAATCAAAAAGTCAAAGAAATTATAGTAACAATATACATCTCTCCAAATACACCTATTAGAGGACAGACATTTTAAATTCAATTTAAAGGATCCCCTTTGTTTTCTCAGGTAAAGAAAGCATTTATAAATCAACAAAAGTCACACCTGGTATATCTGGTGCATACATGAACTGCTATATTGTATATATGCACATGAACTGTATATATGCATATACATATATATGTACACACACACTGAATGCAAGCTACATTTTCTGCTTTTACACATTTATGCCAAAAGCCAATAAAAAGCTTTTTTCCTGCCCCAGAGTTACTTCGAATACAAAATGTGTACATACTTTTTTACACTTTTAAAACAGAAGTAAAACTTAAAACACATATGCACATCTAATCTATTACCTATCTTTAAATGCAGGGTGTATATACACAGTGCTTGGATGTTAGCTTAAGCACACTTTAGCATTACTAAATAAAGAATATTTCAATACACCTACACAACTTCTGTTTAGATAAACTCAAGTTGAAAATGTATTTATTTTACGTTGAAAATAAAATTTCATCAATCAAAGTACTAAGAGTTCTTTATTTTGCCATACTTCAAAGTAAGCTAATTCAGATTCCAAATCTCTCCAAGTTAATAGCATTTTTCAGAGTGAGTAAGATTTAGCTATGGTTCTGTACCACTTGTCATAAGAACTGGCTTGCCTTTGGTGAAGGGTAAGTGCCAAGGTTCAGATTTTTGTTACTGATTCTGGGAACTTGATACTGATACATTCTCTCTAATCCAGTCAAAACAGATTTCTGTGTATTTTCAGCAATTTTCCAAAACCAAGAACAACAGCTTTCTCTTTTAAAACAGTCCAGTGAAACCAAATTAACAGCCATGAGCTATTAGGCTTCTTTAATGGAAGCCATTACAGGAACTACGATGTAACATCGTATTTCATGTAAAATGTGAAATTATAGGAACATGGCAGGTATACTTTCTAGTCTAACAAGAAGTATTCTTATGTTTTTATAACATTTTCAGGTTGCCAGAGCAGCAGAAAAGCTGCACACTGAAAGAAGCATGTGTTTGCTTAAATCATTGGTGCAGGGAGCAAGGGAAAAAAATATGATGGAAGTACGACTGCTGAAACACAAACGTAAAATTTTGACTCTAATATATCAAATTACTCTTGGTTCTTTAACTATAATCAAATTTGACATTGCTGTCACACTTTGGATATGTAGAACTGTGACTATCGGATTTATTAAGCTGGAGGAAGTGGAGGAAATAACTCAAAAACTCACCATAGTCCTACTCTTGCTTTATTGCAGAAGCTCTTCCTCTTTGGTTTGATTACTAATTCTAGAAGCTAATCACAAAGCAAAGTGAGGAGAAAGGTGAGAGAACAAAGGAACCCTGCAAAGAAACCCTGTACTACTGATTTCTACCCAAAGAAGTAATGATGGTTCTCATTAACTATACAGTTACTCCTTCCATCTTTCCTCCTTTAGGAGAATGACTGCTAACAACATAGTGATCCTCAATGTGCATCAAATACTCTCCTGACCATCAACGAATCTGAAGAGCTTCAGAGAGAAGCAGCAGTGGATATAGAAAGCATAAACATAGAACAATCCAGTTTAGAAGATCATCCAGGCCAACCTTTTGTGAGAAAAATCTGTAAAATCAGTAAATTGTTAGAAAGCATACCGATATCTGGATTGAAGATTTCTTCCACAACCAACTGAAAAAATTCTTTGGAAACACCTCCTTCATCTACCCCTTGCTCTCCTTCAAATTCAACATACAATTGCTTCTTCAAGTCTGCAGGATTTTCCATGGCAATCATCTCTAGCTATTGAGTGAAGAGATAGAAATATTTCATTAGTAAATCTGTTTACTAGAATAGTATAGTATCAAATAATGAAAACAAAAGTATCCTCCAAAATTAAGAAGAAAGTACGCACAAATCACGACAGTAAAATAAGAGAAATCAATAGTAATGCCAGACCACTTGTCCTGGGGTGACTTTATGATACTGGTATCCCCAATCGTCTGGTTTATGTTATATATTAAGTTCTGCACCTTTAAGACTGGCTTTGAGAGCAAGAGAGGGGGAAGAAGAAGCGCGCAGTGTGTTAAGGAAAAACATCACTCCCACACATCCCGCTCCTGGACTGTGGTGTCTGCAGCACGGACAGACAGCGGGACAGAGCTTCTCTCTGGCTTTTAGTTAGTTCTAGCTAGCTGAGGCAGAGGAGTTCCCTGGACCTTTGTTTGTTTTTTTCCCAATTTTCTTGGATCTGTGCAAGCCTGCTCTGGACTGAACACCCAGCCAAACCCCGGGAGCTCACGCCTGTGGCCCACCGGGGCCTGGGCCTCGGCACTTTCCAGCACCGGAGGGACTGATAAGAACCTGAGCGAGCCGAGCTACACCACATGAAAAGGACTTTTTTTTTTCCTCCTAAATTTGCCATCCCATCGAACAGCAAGAGGTTTTACTATTTAATATTACTCAATTTCTGTTAAATAAATAGCTTTTTCCACTTCTCTCTAAAGAATTTTTTTCTTTTCCCAGACCAGTTGGTGGGGAGGGGCATTTCCCTGGAGAAATCCCCATTTGGAGTTTTCCTTCCTAATTTGCCCTAAACTAAGACACCACTCTAAGCATATTTTAGAATCTGGGGATTAACAGCAAGAAACTTAACACAGAACTGATCTGTCAGCCCATTAAAGCTCACTGCCTGTTAACATTCTCTATTTCTTTTCTTTTAAGCACTTACTTAAAACAAGTTATCATTGTGTTGTGCACAATTCACAGAAAAAGGAAGAGTACAAGATGTATTACTGGGATAATTAAATTCATCTGACAATGAAGATTCTGCAATATGATCTACATGTCTGACAATAAATGGCTTTGTGAAGGGATTACACAGATATGTTTTCAGAGTGGAAGACAAAACAAGCCTTTGATGAGGTAGATGCATCTCTCAAACAAAGAGCTGGGGAAAAAAATCCTAAAAACAAAAATTACAGTAATATTACAGTCGAATCAACCCACTCTTGTTGACCCTAATAAGGAAGTCTCAAAACTCTCTTGCTCTTATTTCTTCAGTTTAAACAGATCTACAGCACTGCTGCCATGAAAGTAAAAAATCAGTTAAAGCCAAATAGAAAGTCTGATATTTTACAAGAAAGGGTTTCAAGTCTATATAAAGGCCATTAGAGGCCACAGAATCACAAAACAGTTTGGGTTGGAAGGCACCTGGAATCATAATCTAGTTTCAACCTTTTTGCCATGGGCTGAGGCACATTCCAGTAATACAGCTCACTCAAAGACCCATCCAGCACGGCCTTAAACAGTTCCAGGGACAGGACATTCCCAGCTTTCCTGGGCAGTTTCCTGCTGCAGTGCCTCACCACCTTTACAGTAAAGAATTTCTGCTGAACAGCTAATCTAAACCTCTTCTCTGTAGTTTGAAGTAATTTGCCCTTGTCCCATCATTACATAACCTTGTAAAAACTTCCTCTCCAGCTCTCATCAGCCCCCCTTTAGGTGCTGGAAGTTTCTGTAAGGTCTCCTAGGAACCTTCTCTGGCTGAGCAACTCCAACTCTCCCAGCCTGTCTTTATTTGAGAGGTGCTCCAGCCCTCTGATCATTTTTGCATCCCACCTCTGGACTCAACCCGACAAGTTCACATCCTTCTTATGCTGTGGACCCAGAACTTAATGCAGCACTCTGGAGGGGAGTCTCACAAGAGTAGAAGGGGACAGTCACCTCCCTTGACCTGCTGGCCATGCTGCTTTTGATGCAACCCAGGGTATGACTGGGTTTCTTGGCTATGAGTGCACATTGCCAGGTCCTCCACATACTTACACCAAAAACATATCCTCTCAGTAAATCAGAAGTTAAGCAAGAATATTTTGAAGCTAATAAGAAATGTGCTATTTAAAGGCATAAACAGACTGGTTACACTTATGCAGCACAATTAGACTTAATATACCTATGTGGCATAGAAAACTCAGCAGCAGTAAATTAAGGCACAGATGGACCTGTATACTCCTCTACCAAGACCATATTACTTGTGAGATTTGCCTCTGATTTGGGCTACTGCAAATTGTATGTACCAGCAGGTGTCCTTAACATGCTAAACCTCACTTTTTATTTCATTACCCTACCTTATCCACACATGCCAACACTCTTTACAGACCAGAATTTTACTACAGCAGCGTAAAGTAAAACAGGAACAGAACAGAGAAGGTAAAGACAGCAGTAATGACACCATCGACTCATAAAATTACTCCTGCCAAGTCAGCCAGACACGATCCAAGAAGCACAGCAGGGCAGGATGGGTGACATAGTTGGGGGTGGGTTATCATAACGGGTTTGAAGACATTTAAGCACTCCATGCAAAAGGAGCATGTGGAGAAAAAATTGCACTACCTGGTATTGGAAACTAAACTTGCCAAGAGAGACAGTGTAACTTCAAAGCATATAAATCTCAGTTAAAAAAAAAAAGAAGGCAAGCCATGAAGATCCCAAATAATGACAGCAAGTGAGTTTAGTCTGTATTTCTATCAAAACTACAACATTTTCTGAAAAACTTAGTTATGTACTACCTAAGCCATTTGTGTAAAAAATTCTTTTTCTAGGACAAGAATGAAGCTTAAGCCATGTTCCAAGTACAACTTGCAACTTCTGAAAAACAGAGAACTAGCATTTACTTTAAAACTGTAAATACAGGTTAAACATTCAAGCTGGACAGAAATTCTCCAACTTGGATTCCGTCCACTTACAACCAACAGCAATAAAGCTGCTTTTTTCCTCCCCAGTCATGAGTTTGTTGGCTTTGTAGTCTTTACCATTAGCAAATTACTATATTGAATGATTTATGAATTTTCATGAGTTCTGAGAAAGCATAGTTGTATTTACACTTCTTTTTGAACAGCAATGACACACTATGTCATAGTGTGGAGACTCTCTTGTGTCATGGAAATGCACTAAGTGTTCATATTTATACATATAGAGCAGTTAAAGAAATTTCAAAAATGATTTTTTGGCTGACAAAAACAACCTAAAAAAAAGAGGAAGGAAGCAGTCTTAATTGAGCAATGCTGGCTAGGCAGATTAGAACAGTGCACTGGATATCTGCAAGGGAGTCAGATAAAGGATTACCCAAAAGCCAGTATTTTGAGCAAAGCCTGATGCTCCTTGAAGTAGATTCTATAAGCAGGAAAATTCTGCTAAGCTGCTCAACTCAGAGTTGTGGGTTTAGCTGCTCCTTTGAATATCTGCGTCAACACTGATGCTTCACAATAAAAACTGAATGCAGTGGGCAAAGCACTGGAAAGCAGCAAGCACAACAGTAAGGAGGCGCTGGACTTTAGCAGAACTGCAGCAGTGTTTCTGTAGCAGGGAAATATGAACTTCAGTTACTGCTGTCTGGTTCTTGGGTTTTTTGGGTCCTTTCTTTGAATAATCAGAGCTACCTCAACACTGTCAACATAGATGCTGCTAGATAAACACAATCCAACTCTGAGGTTTTAGAAGCTGTTTTCTGTCATGAGGGTTTGACAGGTCCCACCACTGAAATAATCATTATGTTTTCCAGGGACTTCCTAAAAAGCAGGTATGTAGCATGTCTAAAGCAGCAGAATAATGTATTAATTGAAAAGCTGAAAGCTGAGAGATGGCATCATAAAGAATATCTGTATTGTTTGCTGAAACACAACACTGTACCACAACTAAAGACATTGGGTGATTTTACTTTGGTTACAGAGTAACACTGCTTTCCTGACAGACAGGAACATTCACTGAACAACAGAAATATGACAACATTCAAAAGATTAATATAACACCAGTTTGGTGACCTGCTTAGAACAGATGGCAACTGAATTAATTTCTATTCATTTAAAAACAATCACAAACCATCTTAACTTCCAACATAATATAAAAGTTCTCTTTAAGGCAGATGCAGGAATCTTTCCATACTAGACAGCAAAAATTACAAAACACAGCTAATTTAAGCTTGAAACTACCAGAGACACATCATGACATATGTTGGTCAACATGTTTTTTTTAAAAACCAGCATGGAAGGTAGTTATAGTGACAAAGTAGCCTTTTCTCCAGCTGTACTTTACAGTTCATGTATTTGGAGATTGCACACAACAGTCACATGCTCTGCATACAACCAAATGCTGATATTTTCACCTGAACACATAAAACTTCAATGTCTGAAACAAAGTCAAATCTCCTGAAGTACTTTGCTGCTAATACAGGAGAGGATCTGCCTACTGGGTTCAGGTGTCACAGGGAATTCTGGTCATCAATACACTCAGCAGAGTCATTTACAAGCAGGAGAGGGTTGCTGCCCACTAGCTGTCTACATTGCATATGAAATTTGTGAGTTTCTAACTTGCAAGCAAGTACAAGCCTGATGCTGCTGAAGGAAACCACCACGTTTTCACTTGTAGAAGCTGTGTGTCATAACCCACACCCTTTAAATGACTAGTACCTGAGAAGAATGCCACATTTAACCTGGGCCATGGGGGTGGGGAAAGAGTAAACTCAGAAGAAGGGGATGAAAGAAACGGCTCTTGGGGAATGAAAAGGTAGAAGAGAGGATTTAAAGATATATTTCCTTTCATTACTACCACACTCACACAACAGTGACTCAGCAGTACAGCTATTAAAGCTGCTAGACAGAAAAAACCATGTTAACTGCTTTCAGGAACTGCAAACTGAGCTACCAACTCCCAAATATAAGGGTTCCTTAAAAAAAGTGGGGACTAAAGTGTTACAAATTCTAACATTCCACCTTTGTCCCCAGGTGATTTTTCAGACTAACATACATACAAATAAGTATACAATAAATATATATTACAAAGAAAGATGTTACATTAAATCATTTCCAATAAAAAAAGAAAAGTAAGTTTCTGAAGCAAATTTCACACGTGCAAAGAAACTGAACAAGGAATTTATAAATAAGATTCTTCCTTAGGTGCATGTGTTTTAGGGAACTAAGATTCTCTCAATAAGCAATTCTAAACAAGATAATGCCTTAAAGGTACTTCAAAATTATTACTTCAGATTCTCAGTAGAAAGAAAGAAGTCCTACATTAATAATAGTAACAAAAAAAAAAACCACTTACCAGTGTTCATATTTGCTTTAATGAAATTCAAGAAGTGAGAATATATACATATTGAATTATAAAAGCTAAAATATTAAGTATTGATAGGAGAAAAACAGCTTGGTACTGACTTCATCAGCTCAACTAATTATCAGAAAGCCAGTATTTAGTGTGTTTGCAAGAAACTGCAAAGGCTGATTAATGTATTTGTTTCAAAAATATTCAACATCAATAAGGAAACTGTGAGTAACACTCTCGGCCTCATTTTAGTCAATATTCTTGAAAATGTTTTCATCTGGAAGTTATCAGAAATTCCACAGATACTCCAAAAAGTCTTCACTGACTTTTCTGTGAAGACACAGGTCTAGTAACATAAATAGTAGTTACAATTCAAAAATGTCTGTAAATATTCAAACTGGTACACAGTATTTTTATATTTATTTGCCTAATGTAAAGTTGAGTTTACAGACAGAAGCCATTTCTGTACTGCAATTTTATTTTTTCTTTTGCTACTAAAGACAAATATTTTTCTTGACAAGTCATAGCATCAGCAATTCCCAAGAAGCAGCTAACCCAGCTGGAAATTCCTAGGCATACAGAAAAATCAAGGTAGGAGGTCATTTAGGGCTCTCACAATTTCCTTCACTGGCAGCTAAAGTCATCAAATTTAACTACAAGTAACAGCTGGGCTGAGAGGCAAAATCAGGTAATTTCTCTAAAATCTCTCTTAACAAGGCCTGAGTGGGTCTTCAGTGACAAGTTTCAAAGCCATGGGTAAATTTAAAAATTTGCAAACCTTATGCTTTAAGAATAGAACATGGGAAAATGAGTTTTTGAAAATTACCAGTTTTAACCAAAAAGGAAGGGTCCTAAAATTAAATAACATATTAAGGTCATATATGGACCTATTTACTGTATGATAGTTTGTATCCTGTATGAGTCCCCTCAACTAAAAATGCATGAAGAAATGGCATTAAGTTTTAATTTAAGCAGTCAGCATATTCAGAAACAGCCAGCTCTCACACTTCCCTGGTATTAACAGGTCTGTCTTCCTTTCTCAGTTGTATCAGTATTTGTACCAAATTAAAATAATGCTTTATTTCTAGAAATTTGTAAGTCCACAAGAAGAGTACACAACTAAAATTCTAACTTCCATCTGAAAATCCCTCCCACCAGAAGACCATCCAGAACAGTGCAGAGCACAAAGAAACAGAAGTTAGTCACTCTCACCACCAAGATCTGTGCAGGATCTGATAATGGGGAATAAGTGCTACCTGACAGTTTAAAACATCTAAATCTGCAACCACTCTGAGAAGTACTTATGCTGAACATAGAAATCTTCAGCATCATGTTTAGAATTCAAACAATAAAGCTATTTGAGATTCTTCTAGAGGAAATCTAGCATACGTACATGCACACAAGAGTCCCTTTCAGTTACTCCAAGCCCATGCGTTTTGCACTAGTCAGAACCAACAAACCCAAGCTCCGTGTTGCTGTGGCACTTACCCGGACAAGCGCATCATCAATGATGTGATCACGTCTCACTTTCAGTCGCAAATAGGGGTTGAGCTGCTGCCCTTGAACTAAGCTGTAGAGCACAGTTATGCGTCTTTCACTGTACATCCGGATCCTATTGTCATAATACAATCCCAGGTTCTTGGTAACAGCATTCAATATGAAGGGACAGGTCATAAATGAGAATTTATTCTCTGTTTCTACTTTGAAGAAAGTATAGTCTTTGTCCATTTCTAGAACATCATTCAGTGGTTCATTAATAAATTCTTCAAAAGGGATAAGTGGTTTTCTGCAATCTATAGTTTTAACACCAAGTTCAGTTTCCAGTGGGTCCACTCGAGGACCTTTTTTATTTCTTCTTTCCTCACCCAACAGCTCTTGAAGAGTTAGTTCACTTGATTCTGGGATGGGTTCTTCATCTTCCTCTTCATTATGATCTGTATCCACATCCCCTCCTACTACATTTGCATAGTAAACCATTTTCAAGCACTTTGAAGCAGCAACAACAGCATCATCATCATTCACTAGGTTACGACTATTGAACTCATTGCTTATGACTTTGTAAGTAATAAGCTGCTGAAATGTTTCCATCATTCTCCGAATTTGATCTGCTCTGTACTTAGACCACAATCTGACCAGTTTTGCTTGAGCTGCAAGGGGTAGTTTGCTCATTGCTTTGCAGAACAACGGTAGAGCCATTTCCAGATATTCTGGGCTATGAAGATTGCCATTCTCCATAACGATAATAAACAAATTCAGATAGTTAGGATCCCGGGAGTACACATTATGGTAAGTCAAGTCACATTCCACATTAGGTGACAAGTACACAAGTGCATTTAAAAAGGCAGTTTCTATTTTTTCATTAGAAAGTAACCTATCATAGACCCGTCTGACTGCTTCAATATCTACAGACACTTCATCTGGGCCTAGTTTTTGGAGATTATTATCTCCCTGTGTGTTATCACCTATTCTTGATGACGAAGACGATGATGCACCAGAATCCTCTTCCATAGCAGCAGCCGAACAGGCAGCTTTTTCCTTTTCATCTTCATCTTTGTCTTCATCCTTTCCTTGAAGAGACTTGAGCTCCTCCTTGGTGTGCTGCTTGGTTTTTCTGAAACTCTGTACCAGTGCTTCAGCACTAGAAAACACTCTCCCAATCACCCGGATTAAAGGGGAATAATCCTCTTTTTCTCGACATAGCTCAAGAATTTCATATATCTTGTCTTCTGTTAGAAAAGTCACATCTATAAAAATATAAAGGTATTAGTTTTACAAAAATAAAATAAAAAGATAAAATACTTCTGGTTTGCCCTACCCAAGAAATCTCCATGTTTTATCATCACTAAAACTGCAAAAAACAGTGTCAGTGCTGAATAAATTCAAGACAGATACTTTATCACTTCATTAGCATGAAAAATCATGATTTCACTCACTGATTTTGTAAAATATTTTATTAATGGATGTCAATCAGAGAATGTGCACAATGGTGAAACTATTTTGCAGCCAATTAATTACATCTTATAGTTAACACTACAGTATTGTCGAAACAAGTGCAATCAGAGGTTTAAACTTTAAAAGACTTAATGAATAAGGCTGCGACAATAGTCTTCTGGTAAATCTGTACAGTTAATGTGTAAGTCATTAAACTAAACAAACCAGACTGTATCAGCTTCTTTTTTGAAACCAGACCTTGAAGAAAAGACTCAATCACTTGTTTTGTTGTATGTTAATGGGAATATAAGACTTCTTATTTATCTTTTTAATCCTTTCTGCAACTGTCTTTAGACTAAATTGATGCCTGAGAACCCTCCCAAAAGCCTCAATATATGCTCTGAAATTTATGCTGCCTTCTAAATTACACATATAGCGTGGCATGTAGATTATCTCTCTGTGCATTAGGCCTCACTAAGATAAGCAACTTGGGTATACTTATCAACATGCTATTCAGATGAACAAGATGGTTTACACACATCTGCTCCAAATACCTGTCTGTTCTCCCTCTCCCCAAACTCCTGATACAAAGTAAGTCATTTGAAGGGTCCATTTGTTATTTGAAATCTTTCTTTCTCTTTAGAAAACAGAAAGAAAACATTATTTATAGCTTTCTATGTTACTTTTCAAACAAAACACACAGATGCTTTCACATCAGGTGATGATTTACAGTAGGATTACCACACGATCAGACCCTGAAAAGATATTCTAGTTTAAGCAGATTCTTCTGAACTGACACATAATTTAGAACTAAAACAGAATCTGTTTAATAGCATCTCTAGAGATCTAGAAACCATCTCAGAACTGTATTCACCAACCAAGCTAGAACCACCTACCTCTGCAGAAAGAAATGTATTATTTTAATAAAGATGTTCAAAAAAGATGTACATTAAAATATTTTGGAATGTGATTACCTGCACTGACACTCATTTCAAGAAGTCATTAAATTAAAAATACAAGCTAGATGATGCAAAGACAGATATCCTATTGACTTTCACAGAACCCCAAGCAACTTTTAGAGCACATATAACACAAGAAAGGTGAAGCTTATGTCTAGGCTTAGATTGACTTCCAATCTGAAGACACTGACAAAGCTCATTACTGAAATCTGTCGTGTTAAAAAAACAGCTCTATTGAAAACATTATGAAAGGATGCAAGTTTAGTGCAACATCTATTTTTATCTGCTGCAGTGCATGCTCAGGAAGCAAAACTTGTCTTAAAAGAAGTCTTAATTTTCTTGTGTTAAAAGAAATTTATCTGCTAATACAGATGATGTTCCATGACATGGTTCCTCAAAATAAGGACCACAGTCTCAATTTCACTGAGTCTGGACCACAGACATTATTCATAGCATAAAAATTATCAGCGTAAGTTGACAATTTAACAATATAACAAATTTCAGATTTCCATACTTAAAACGAATTCCTCATTCACTCTTTTAAAGGTTTTAGTGTTTCAAGAACTCCAGAAAAGTAATTTAAGTAATTATTTCTGAAGAATATTTCTTTCAATTAATTTGGAACTTTAAATCCCATGTCAAGTATAAAAGCAAGCTACAAATCCTTTTCCTTGGCTTTGCAAAACTTTGCTGCAGGTTTCCCTGTAACCGTTGTAGCAGATAGACCTTAAAAAAATCAGAGTGCTAGATTCCTTAGACATCACCCAAATCCAAAGGTAACTAAGCCTCAGATGATTTTTAAGAATGCATTGAAGCCCTCTATCTATACAGCTACAAAGAAAGGTCAATACTTGTGATGTTCCAAGAGAGAGGAAGTCTGAGCTACTGCTGTAGCCAACAGACTGTCTCTGGAGGTAGGTTGAGAGGACTCTTGGGTACCTGTCTTGGGGAGAGGGGATGGTTAGACACAATAAGGAAAATTCTGTATCTGAAAAGCTCCACTGAAAGTACAAAAAAAATCAAGAGACAAATCACAAAACAGACTTACTGTGCCTCTTGCTCATCTAATGATACACTGCCTTTCCTTTCCCCCTCCTAATGTTTGCCTCTGTGCTTATTCAGGTCATAAATAATTTGGGTGCAAATTTATCCTTGTATCAGATAAAGAAGAAACTGATGCTGCTATTGACTGGAACATCTTGGGTTGCTTATAACACAGTACTATGTTTTACTGCTAATTCTGTAGGGTTTTTTAAATCTTTCCTGTAAACAATTTCACCTTCTTTAGCTAAAATAAATGAATCTGGACTTGTGTTTATACCACTTTTTGCCACAATACTTGAAGGTGGTCTGCTCAAAGGTTAATGGCTTTAAAAACCATTTGGCCTGGTTTCTGGACATGTTTGCATCATGGGTTTTGGTGACAACTAACATTATTCTATTAGTATGTATTTACTATTAAAAATAGTTTGAAAAGCTAAACCGAAGTTAGAAAACATGTACAAAACAGTATATTTTTTTACATTGGCTTAAAAATAACTGCTTAAATATTTTTTAGCTTAGTGAATGCATTGCCTATCACCCATAGAAACATTTCTTTCATCTGTTAAGTTTCTTAATATAGATTCTGGAATTAGTTAAAGTATAACTTTTATAATTTATTAACCGCAGAATAATTACAAAACTAGCAAAACTAAAACAGTCATACAACAGCACTTAAAGCTTTTCCATATTTGCAAAAATCATTATTCTTGTAAGACAACAAATGCATGTCGATTTTAACAAAGATGTGATCAAGATCCAGATTTTTCCATTTTTCTGAATCCATAATAAAATACTCAATTGCCTAATACTGTATTTTACTAAAGTCAGTAGAACACCATCAGAGTGAACTCTGTTGGCTTGTACTTGTGCATATAAAATGTATTTTATTTTAGGAAAAGTGTAAACATCTTACCTTTAAAATCATCTCTTGGGCCTTGCATTTCCTTCTTGTTCATTTTTCTGTCAGTGCAGGAATTGTTATGGGCACCTTTGGAATTGTTTTCTAGGTAAGCTGAGCTCGTTCCTTTCTTGGAGGGATGAGGATCACAGAGTTTTGCATTAATCTTATAAAGCTCGAGGGCCTTAATGGCTGCTGCATTGTTATCCATACGGAGAAAAGTTGGACAGGAAGCACAAAATTCATTCGTGCAGGCTTCATTTCCACAGCCCTCAGTTAACTGGTGGTAGTAGCGCTCTATTAGATGCTTTGCAGCTGCTCGCTTCCTGTAGCAAACATTCAAACAGTAAGTACAAGGATTAGTGGAGCTTTCACATACAAAGCTCATTCAATAGCATCAGCAAGGCAGAGATTAGTCAGGAACTGAAACACAAGACTTCTGTCAGAGAGAACACATCAGAAGATTTTTTAAATGCAGGATTCTCATCTTGACAAATGCAAATATATTTAGCACACAATTTAATTTGTGGGTTCTATGTAAGTAAATGATAAATCCTGTTTATGCACAGTTTTCAGCTTTACATGGTAGTGCTACAATCTTGTACAGGTAGTGGAGACAATCTTGTACAGTTCTGAACAATCTCAACTGTTGTTAAAAAAAAGAGCAATTTGGATGCAAAACAAGGCTGCAACTGAAACAGAACTGGATGTTGTACAGGTGTTGAATCTAATATATAGTACTGAGGCATGGTTGCCACTGACAGATGAAAGAGGCATGAAACACAAACAATTCAGACATTTATTTAGCAATACTATCAATACTACACTATTTTACCAATTTAAACAAGATTCCAGATGACTAAATTATCATATTTAGTCTACTTAAATTTGTACAAAAAATATTCCTTGATTAATTAAACTGATGCTAAAAACACAATTACAGATAAGATCAAGGCTAGATATACTTCTCCTCAGCTTAAGTAAATTATATAGTTGTCTAAATAAAAGGAAAAACAACCCCAAAAAGCACTATCTCCAAAATCCTTGTTTCTCCTGCCATTATAGGTGGCAAGTATGTAGTCTGAAAAATCTCAGCTGTATTGCTGTACAAGTCTAGTGCTCAGTACTGTATATGTGCACAAAAGAAAATGTAACTGCCTTATTAATAAGGTCACAGACTTCTACAGAACCATGCAAATAGTAAAGAAATCACTGGAAAGTTGCAGGTAACCAGGACAGAAGCAGCTGCATGCAGCACCAAGAGCACCATGTTTGACCACATTTCAGAAAGAAACCCCCAAACCTTGACTTCATTAAAGATAGTAAGTCATAAATGAAAACTACCAACTATGAAAGGTTTCAAACATTCAGACCACGTTTAACATACAGGCCTTTTACATTACATTAGTGATACAGTACTATGAAGATTAGAGCATCAGAAATTGCGATATTAACTTAAAACTGCCTTTCCTGATGTTGATGCATGCACAGATTCTGCAGAACAAGTACTTCAGAAATGAAGTGCTAGGCCCACTAGCACTACTCAGCACCTGCTGCACGTCGCTGTTAATAATGGCTGGTTAAATGGCAGTTTCAATGCAGCCACTTTAAATGGGAAAGTGTTCTGAGAGTGACTACTGAGGTGTATGTTACTCAGCAATAAGAACTCTGCTTCCTTCTTTTCACCCTTCAAGATCTCATGATCCCAGAGAAGAAAATATATCTTACAAGGAAAACAATTTGATGTCTACCTGAGCTTTCAAATGCCCCAGTATGTTCCAATGAAAAGAAAACAAACAAAAAAACAACTGAGGGGAAAAGTTTCCCTGGCACTTTGAGATGGACGTGGAAAGAAAAAGCAGCATGAGTAATACCATTAAAACCATTACTGTGTAACAGGGAATAGCTATACTATAATCTAAGGAAAGAGTTCTGGTCTCTCACATTTTTATATGTAGACTTAGGAAAATCTGCCTCTCTCCATGTACATCTAAAAATAAGCAGTTTTTTTTAATCTTGTCTTTCATACTTCAGCCATTAATACAGTGGCTTTAAGAAAAACCACTCACCCTGCACCCAAAGCAGCAGCATTTTAATACAACTTGGACCAGTAAATTATTTCAGAGACAACTATTTCTGAATGCAAAATTTTATGCTTTAATCATTCCAGACTTTCAATCATTCTAGACCTCCAGATTCGGAGCGTGAAATATTGTAATTTGTAAGCAGGTTAAGTATTTAATATGAAAAAGCTGAATTTTTATACCTGAGCTGTAGCCACCGATACGCACACATTCCTAGCTCACACATCTAGTTTGAATAAAGTTATATCAATGTATAAACACTGATACATTAATAACACATTTTATTATTTTAAACAACACTCTACTTTAATCAGGTCATGTCTGAGATGCCAGCAGATAAAGCTAAACTTAGACTTGTCTCTAACAGTTAACTTCTGAAGGACACAGTATTTCTTTCGCTTTTAGTTTTTAGCTACCAATTACTTCTCAAACTTTGTCATGACTACAATAAGGCTGCTTGTACAAACACTTTTATTTTGACTTGTGGTTGGAGACTCATTGACTCAAGTTCTCAGAAACTCTATTAGAGACAGAAGGTCTGACTGACTGTATTTTAGATTTATTTTTTTTTCAAATCAAGTATGGAAACAAACAATATTACAATACAGCAGTATTAGAATTTCACAGAATATCCTTAGTTGGAAGTGACCCATAAGGATCATCAAAGTTCAGCTTCTGGCCCTGCACAGAACCATCATCACGAATCACACCATGTGCCTAACAAATGCTTCTTGAACTCAAGCCTGGTGCTGTGACCACTTCCCTGGGGAGCCTGTTCCAGTACCCAACCACCCTCTGGATGAAGAACTTTTTTGTAATATCCAACCAAAATCTTCCCTGACAGTTTCATGCCATGCTTGCAGGTCCTGTCACCATACAAAAGAGATCAGTGTCTGCCCCTCTGCCTCCCCTCATCAGGAAGCTGTAGACCTTGATGAGGTCTCCCCTCAGTGTCCCTCTCCAGGCTGAACAGACAAGTGGCCTCAGCCACTTTTCTTACAACTTTCCCCTCAAGGCCTTTCCCCATCTCTGTAGCCCTCCTTCAGATGCTAATAGCTTTGTATCTTTCTCATATTGCAGCATGCAAAACTGCACGCAAAATATTCCAGGTGAGGCTGCCCCAGTGCAAAGCAGAGGACAATCCCCTCCCTGGCCTGGCTGGTGATACTGCGCCTGATGCCCCCAGGACAGGGTTGGCCCTCCTGGCTGCCAGAGCACTGCTGACTCATGTTCATCCTGCCACTGACCAGGACCCCCAGGGGCCTTTCTGTGATGCAGGGCCCAGGAGCACTTGTACTTCTTGAACTTCACGTGGCTGGTGGTTGCTCGACCTCTAATGTGACCAGGTCTCGCTGCAGGACCTGGCTGCCTTCCAGAGAGTCAACAGCACCTTCTAATTTAGTATCACTAGCAAATCTACTTCGTATACCTTTGAGACCTGCATCCAAGTAATTTATGAAGACGTTGAGAAGGGACAAGGATGGAGCCCTATGGAACTCCTTTAGTGACAGGCCACCTGTCTGATGTTGCCCCATGCACCCCTGTGTGCCTGAGCTGTGAGCCAGTTGCTCATCCCTCACATGATGTATTTATCCAGCTGTGTTCTGGACATTTTATCCAGAAGAATACTGTGAGAGACAGTACTGAAAGCTTTATGGAAATCCAAAAAGATGACATCAACCCATTTCCCTTGATCAAGTAGATGAGTTACTTTGTCATAAAAAGAAATTAGATTTGACACGAACCCATGCTGGCTGTGACTGTCTGCAGTGTCCTTCACGTATTTTTCAGTATCTTCCAGAATAATTTTGTCCATAATTTCACCAGGCATTGATGTGAGACTGACAGTCCTGTAGTTTTCAGGGTCCTTCTTCCTGCCCTTCTTGAATATTGGGCCAACATCAGCCAACGTCCAGTTGACTGAGACCTCTCCAGATTCCAAAGATCATTGAAAAATCCTTGAGAGAGGCCTTGCAATGACATCAGCCATCTCATTCTTGTCTGAGTTCTGTAAGGCCCCATAAACATACAGGGATCCAGCTGGATCTTCCCCCCCTCTCCCTGGCAGCTACTCTACAGGCTTTTCATATTACCTCTGTCAAATGATTTAGGTAAATAAACAAAATAAATTTAAGTGAGGATACAGACCTCAGAACACAGAAGAGAATTTACCAAGCCTTCAACATGAGCTGCCCTTACTGAGGTTCATCGATAAAAGGACTTAAAAAAAATGCAATTCTGAGTAAGTCAGTGTGTGATTTTACAAAACAGACATTCCATATCACATTCCCACTGGTGTACTTCAGGTATTATTATCGCTGTTCATTGCCAAAAAGCCCACATTTCCTATTTCTACATTACTCAGCAAAATAACTTCTAGTATACTCTCTGTATTGCCCAAAAGTGAAAACTTGATCTATTTCTACACTCCCCTGCTCATTTAGTATGCTGAAAACTAAAGTTCTTGGCCTGAGGCATTAAAACTGGTTCATCAAGTGAAGTAACATAAAACCACCACCCCCTATTCTTAGCTCACACTACACCCCTGAAGACCGCAGTTCTCTTTAAGTTCCTATAAAGGGATCTGGTGAAGAACAACTGGTCCCTTAGAAAACTCAACGTCTAGTTCACGGTACATTAGCGCACAGTTACTGCTGCAGCTTAGGCTGTAGTGACCGACTTGCATAGACCTTTCCAAATACTCATTGTTATTGCATGTCCAACTATGAAACTGCACCGGTGTGACTGCAGTTGTAAACATTTCACAGACATTCACAGGCATATCCTTATGACTGAAGGATAACTTCCCACTCAGTGGGCCTTGTATAACCTCCTCAAGCAATATACACTGCTTCAGTGAGGAGGAGAGGCACCTAAAATAGACACCAAACTTCATTCCCTGAAGTCCAATAATTTCACAAGCATATTTTTCTGTTTCAAATGAAATTAGCATTCACTGACTTAGTTTGTAGTAGTTACAGAAAAAAGAATTGCCTTTAGGCTTTCCATATGTTCTTTAGCTAATTAAAGCCAGATAATAAGTACTTTGCATTTGTAATTTAAATGGTGCCAAAACTGTGGAACATCACAAGAAACATGTACCACCAAGCCAAAGGTGAACTGGGCTGCATTTTCTGTAGTAATTTTTGAATGTCTAAAACCTGTAAAAAACAAGGACTGAGTGTGCTGGTTCAAAAGTTCCTATGAAGCAGAATGTAATTTACATTTTTCAAATACCTTAAACTAAATACAGAGAAATACCATGTAAAGGAATCTCTTGCCACACAGAAAATCAGAAGTTTACACATAAAAGGAATTTTTGAAAGATTTGAAACACATAATAATTTACAGCTCATCTACAAAGCATTTACATTCAAGTTTACATTTACATTCAAAACGTACCTGAAGTTTAAAATACCTACAAACCGCATCATTTTTGCTCATAAGTTTACTTGAATTTTAGAAATACACATGGATGTTTCATACTTGTCTGGAAATACCAGCACAAAATAACATGCTTCTGAATGGTTTCTGCTTAGGACACAATAATTGTTACATTATTTTTACATATAAATCTCACATTGGACAGGAGTGTTGATCTGCTGGATGGTAGGAAGGGATCTGGACAGGCTGGATTGATTGGGCCAAGGCCAACAGCATGAGGTTTAAAAAGGTGAAGTGTCAGGTCCTGCATTTAGGTCACAACAACCCCAGGCAGTGCTACAGGCTGGGGACAGAGTGGCTGGAAAGCTGTCCAGTTGAAAAGGACCTGGGGGTGTGGTCCACAGCAGCTGAACATGAGCCAGTGTGTGCCCAGGTGGCCAAGAAGGCTGGTGGTGTCCTGGCCTGTATCAGAAATAGTGAGGCCAGCAGGATGAGGCTGTGATCTCCTTGTTCTTGGATCTTAAATCCCACATCCAGTTTTAGGCAACTCACTGCAAGGAAGACATTGAGGTGCTGGAGTGTGTTCAAAATAGGGCAGTGGAGCTGGTGAAGGGTCTGGAAAAGAAGTCTTACGAAGAGCAGCTGAGGGAGCCAGGGATGCTTAGCTTGTCCAAAAGGAGGGTCAAAAGTGACCTTATCACTCTCTACAACCACCTGAAAGGAGGCTGTATTCACGTGAGGGTTGATCTTTTTTCCCAGGCAACCAGTGACAGGACAAGAGGAAAATGGCATCAAGCTGTGCCAGGGCAAGTTCAGGCTGGACATCAGAAAACATTTATTAACTGAAATGGCTGTCAAACTTTAGAATGGGCAGCCCATAGAGGTGGTCAAGTTACCATCCCTGCCTGGACATGTTCAAAAAATGACTAGACATGGCATGTGGTGAAATGGTCTAGTTGATAAGGTGGTAACTGTCAAGGGTTGGACTCAATGATCTTGGAGTTCTTTTCCAGCCTTGATGATTCTATGATTGCTCCAAGATGGTTAATTTTATTAAATGGAAATCTACCACAGCCTGTGTTACAATGGCTATTAGGAATTTAGACGTGCCAAAATGATCATAAGCAATTTTCTTAACACATATACACACAAAAAACAAACAAACAACACCCCACCCCCCCCCAAAAAAAACCCAAAAAAACCAGCATTAATTTGCATGGAAACTATGTTTGTCCTTTGGGTAAGAAAAAACCCAGGAAAAGCAGTTTTTTAGTACTAATAGCAAAACAACTTTCAATAGATGTGTTAACAGGGGCATAAAGAGACACATTTGCAACAGTTATACTATACTTTGGAAACAAGACATACAGCACATCAAAAATTGTTAGAAGAGGTCCAGATGTTCATCTTTGTGAAGTTAAATATTGCTTCATGCAAGTTTCAGCTTCAGACCTTGCACACCGGTTTTCCTGCTTCTGTTTAGAGTTAAGAGCGGCAGTGCTAGAAAAGGCAAGCTTCCAGTAATAGCACTGCCCACACAGAGTCTTTTGAACAGCCCTGCACACCAAATTGCCGAACACTCCACCCACAGCTGGAGCCCAGCCCTTTGTTCAAGCAACACTCTAACACCTTTTGCCTGCCTCAGCCTCTGGCACCACAGCAAACACTCATCTGGCAAATGTGCATGTGCATGGAGCTCACGTTTTCCAAACACCATTCTTTCTAGTGTGGTGAATACCAATAGCAGGGGGGGATTGTGAGTCCCCCTTGGACCATACTGGCTTAACTCAAAGGACCTCCCTTCCCACTGTGTATTCTAGATCCAGCATGCCTCTGGGAACATCATGTGCTGACAAAGGCATGACACTTCTTCAGGAAGGGCAACTCTTAACAGAAGGTCTGTCCTGGCTATATGGAGCAATGCAGGAAGACAGAGAAAGGGAGTGAAGAACACACTCAGCACCTATCTCACAATCCTGTCTCAGAAAAATTGCACTGCTACTGTCCTATTAAAAAATAACAGCGAAGGGTTTCAAAATTGCATAGAATCCCATCCTCAAAAGCAGAGAGAAGGAAAGATGAAATGCACGGAAAGCCATATGAAGACAGCCATACCTTTGCCTTGGTAAGTGACACCATAAAATAGAGAATGAAAGCACATGAACAGATTAGAAGTTATTGTTAAACAATCAAATTATGTAATTTATTGCCAAAGAGGTTTTAAGAAAGTTATACTAATGAAAGCTGAAAGTCAATGGAGAGGTTCAACAGGAGCAAACAGAAGATGCTGATGTTAACAACTCTAAGACCTGAATGTTAAGATAAAAAGACTCCTAACTTTGGGCTAGCACCAAGATGCTCATCGCATGGAGACCCAGAATTTGAAAAGCCTGAGATAAGCAAGACTTACACATGGAAGATTTTGCTGTGTAAGAATCTGAATATTTTCTTTAAATTTCTTTTCATTCACACATGTGAAATATATATGACTATGCTCTTGGTATAGAGCTTTGCAATTCAGAATATGGAAATAAGTAAAGCAATTATATCAGCCAACCAGATCTAAACCAATCATTCATTGTGCAAACGAAGAAACACTTACTTTAGTCCCTGAACTTACTAATGAATTTTAGGCATGTAAATAACACAGTAACTATTGCAGCAACACAGCAGGCTTGCAGGTCACAACTCAACCACTCAACCTGCCATTCTACCTTATGTGGCAAGAGCAGCTATGCAGCAGGATTGCAAAAAGTCTCTGTAACAGGTGTAGTACACATCACATTGTGATATAGTTTAAAAAGCATTTAGTTTTGCAAATATACTGTATAACTACTAGTAAATATGTGAATTCCTACAACTTTACTGGCTCACTTTTATTTTAGACAGATAGCTAATATTTATGAATCAGTGCCACTCTGATCACTGGCCTACATCAAAAAGAAAAAGTACTCAGCTATAACACTAATGTTAATTATTTTTTTGTGTTCAGTTTTAAGGAAGATAAATCACACACACACAAGACTTGTCAAACTTCTAGAAGGAAAGAAGTTTTACTGCTTTTTACTTCTCCTAGGTCCTTAAAGTTTTTGTTCCACACCAGGTGAGTGCTGCTGATACATTTTTGCTTAAAATGCAGAAAACACAGTAATCCTGTGTAAACTGGTAACATCCAGAGTGGACTATAGCCAAGCTGCAGCCTTATCTCCCCTGTTTGGCTTGGCCAAGGAAACAAGAGGACACAACTCAACCTGCTGCAGGAACAATAAACCACAATGCAGCAGGAGCCACTACTGGAGCAGGAAGAAGAGAACATGGCAGGAATTTTTCCCTGTGACCTCTAACGCAGCAACACACACAGTCCATGTAGCAACAGGCAGGGTCACCTCTCAGGTCAGGATCTCTGCAACTTTCACTCCTAAGAAAGCAGCTGGACAGCACTTCTGTAGCAGATGGTATGATCGAGGGAAAGAACTATGTCATACCAGGAGAACTGCTTCTACTAGTGCAAGAAAAGGCTTCACTGCGGTGAATTGATAATAACATCAGAAAAGCCCTCACTGTTTCCTCCTGCTCATTTTTTAGGTACGCAGTCCAATGTGTGTCAGGGGACTCACTGCAGCTTTGCTCCTCAAGTCAGGCAGCTACAGCAGAGAAGTCCTTGAGCAATTCACACTATGTCCCTAGCCTGCAAAACATGCTGAAAATGGCATCCAGCCCACGGCATGTAAAATGCTAGACCGCTTGGGGGGAAGGCATGAAGGAGGCAGTTTAAGGTCAGAGAATAAGTTTGTGGCAGAAGAGAAATGAACCCAGATCCTTTGAAGCCTCAGACAGCACACCAACTACTGGGCTACATTCCCTCTATTATTTTGGAACTTGTGCTGCAAGCCAGAAGAGCAGCTTGTGGTTTCCTTGTTTGAGTTCTATGACAGGACAGTTTGAATAGCTAGAAAAGAATCTTTCTTTGCTAACTCACAGAAGAACAAAGTCTCAAATAACTTTTTTTTTTTTTTAATGTTCCTCTAATTCCTGCAACCACTTTGAATCTTAAATTGAAATGAACACTTTAGCCCACCATAATCCTGATTTTAATTCATTTTGGCTTCTAACCTAATGAAGACAGACAAAAAAAGGTTCAATCCTGTCAGCAAGATGCTCTGTGAATACTGTTTAGTGAAAGAGAGCTAGTTTTCTGTTTTAGAACTAACTGGCATATAAATTCAATAAATTAAGTCACAATTGCTTTTTCTTAGTTCAACAATCCATCTGCCACAACACACACCAGCAGGTATTGTGCCTTAGTACTCAACTGTCTTCAAACCCATGCAAGATGTTAGTGAACAGCAGGTAGAAAATACAGCCCTACTGTCAAGTCTGAATATAGGCCGTAAGATTTCTGACACTGTATTATGCCACCATCTACTGGTTCACATTAAATGAAACCTCTAAACTTTCCCTCCAACTCATTGACCCTCCAAAAAAATCAGTTTCTGCAGAGGCTTAGAAGTGCAAAAACTGCAAAATATTAATTTGAAATTTTCTCAGATAATTTTACACTTCTACTCAGCTTTTGTGGTTTTTTTTATTAAGCACATGCAAGAGTGACTGTTATGTATGTTCAGAACACTTTTAATCAAGATAAACCGAACTCATCCACTCATTTACTTACATTCGGCTAGTTTCAATGTTCTCAGAGTGCGGTTCTCCTGGTGATCTGCAAAACCAGATAGAAAACCTTAAGCATTGCTTGTTGTTTTAAGTCATTACAATATGAAGTTATGAAAGATGGAATGCAATGTATTATTGCCACTAAGAGCATCAACTTTTTGATACTTGGAGATTTAATTTCTCAAACTCTAGAATACAGTTTATTACATAAAACATAATAGTATAATTAAGCCAAATTTCCCTAAGAAGGAGAGCGCTTCTTCCCCACCACTTATGCAACAGGAGCCATTAGGGAAGAGATCTGCTGACAGTACTTCCTCATTCAGGCTGCATACTGCTCCAGTTGTGGGCTAATTTTTCATAACCACTTCTGTAACCATAATGTGTAGTCAAAGATTATCAGTGATCAACTGCAATCAACAAATTCTCTACAGAGCTGGACTCTAAGAATTAGCAGCTCAGAAGCAGGGTCCAAAAGGATCTCAAAGCAAATCTTGCATCTCTCTCCACCTGAATTCATGGAGCTAATCTCACAGACAGCTTTCTTTTTTCTTCAATCCAGCCAAGAGATCAGCCAGTAATATTCAGAATTAAGAGTTACTGCCTGCCACAAGCAGCACCTGTGTTTAACCTGGCAACCCCACTGACACTAATTTACAGAGTAATTCAAGGGGTATAGCTCAATATTAACTTAAAAATAGACTAAATTATAGTTATTTAGCTCCTTATTCCCACATTCCTTGAGACAGCACTGATTCAACTGTTAACTTTTTTTTAGACAGTATTTTTTTCCTCTCTTTGAGGGAGAGCTTTCACTAGCCAGTGAGTTTGTAGCAGACAAGCCAGAAGACAAGGCAGTACAAATGCAGCAGTTTTGATACCCATCATCTTAGGATGCCCTGAAATCAGACCTTATGGAACCATCGCTTGGTTCCAAACAGACTTTGGTACAGTTGACCAGAACTGTCATTCTGGAAATACTATGCAAGGAGTAGAAACAGAGCACAGCCATTACAGTAAAGCTCTGCAACTTAGATGAACAAAAATGTCTTTCATGACAGCTCTCTAAAATGAGAAGTGAGCTAAAATCTGCAAGCAGAACTAACTTTGTAGGTTTCACCAGAGTCTGCTCTGAGACTTCGGTTAGGATGGCTAAGCAGACTTTCCCGTAGCTTTAAAGGGAAAAACAAATCTTTATTTATAGGAATGTAATTTCTGAATTTCTCTATTTATTATAATATTCTAAATTCTACTGGAAATCTCCACATGTAGCCTGATACATTAATTTTTTCCTGTTACACTGTGCTGTTTTACTGAATGGTCTCTCTTATTTAGGCTTGGACTGGTCTCCAAATTCTCTACTAGAATTTTAGTTCCTTTTCTGAAATACCAGATCTTAACAACTTTTTGGATTGTATTAAGCAGACCCAGTGCCTAGAAGGCATTTCTGGCAGACAACTTATAATTCCAGGCTAGCTGGATACTGTGTGGTGACAGATGATGCAGAACACAGGATATTATTTGTTTGTATTTTATTAACTTACAAACTTTAATGGACGCTAGGGACAGATTTCTGAACTTCTATCCAACCAGCTTTATACTCATGCATAAAATGTAAATACACTTTAACTGGAAAATAACAAAAACTGCCCAATCTCAGAATTTGGCCTCTATTTATTACCTCCAAATGAGGTTTCCCTTACTCATTAAATTCAAGACTGACAAGGCAGCTGTTAATGTAAGTAATGTTCAGCAGTAAAACAAATAAAAATTTCCCTTTAACTCCAGTGACCAAAGCAGGCCTCTAAATACTTAGTGAAAAGAGTGTCAATTTTTTTTCCCACTTATTCACTGAGCATGTAGGTGTTAGAAGCTGGAAGAGCAGAAACACATGTTTATATTTACACTGGTTAGCTCCTCTATTTACTTCCAGGACTTCAGAAAATGGTAGCAAAATATATGGACATTTAAAGCTTTGTGCTCTTAATTCCAGTATTGGGACATACAACACATTGAAGCTTTGGGAAAGAGTAGTGCTTTTAGTTGCTATGAAAATGGAAAGGAAATAGTGGTGTTAAAAGAAAAATCTCGAGAACACTGATCACTTTCAGCCTTTAAAACAAACAGCAGTATGAAGAATTACAGAAAAAGAGCAGACTGGCATCTAAATTCTGCACATAAAAAAAGTAGCCTGGTGATCTGCAGTATAGATATGTAAAGAGCTAGCAGTATATCCAAAATCTTTTCCTATCCTCATTATTTGTGACAATATTATCAGGGCTGTGAAGAGACAATACAGTTCAGGATATGTTACTAAAAATAAAATAAAAATTTAAAAAGGGTTGCATCTCTAAGATAAACAATATAAGAAAAAAATATCATCTAGCTGGGTCAAAAACAGTTTGGTCCTCTAAGGTAACACAGGGTGAAAATTCCTTCAGCTTATTGTTTTCTAAAACATGAGCAGACCTACTATAACTATGATTTGCAGAACTATTAATGGACATATTAACTTGATTTTAAAAGGTTTCAAATGACAATGTAAGCACCTAATAAAATTGAGCTTTGAATACTCAGTAAAATGAAGTGGAAGCTCAATCTAATTACAGGAATTGTACTTGTTTGCTGAGAAGCTATTTATTTTGCTATACCCAATTGTTTACAAACAAGATACCTTGTTATTTCCTGTGAGCAGGCAACAGTACTGAAAAACAACTATATAGTACGGCAAGACGTCCTTTCATCATGCTTAAAATCTGAAACAAGAGTTCTGTTCAGAGAAAATCTCAGAGCAAATGCTCTTAAAAATTTCAGCTTTGAATTAGATTGTAGATACTGATCACAAGACACCAACTAATCTGAATACTGCAGAATGAGCTCGCAAATTCAAATGGTGGCTCATTTCCAATACTACAGGGAGCAACTTCTCCATTCTACAAGCCACTCCTTTTACCTCCAGTGTACCTCTCTAGATGAGAAAGGTAATGGTTTGCAAACTTACACACATTTTAACATCATCAAGCTTCCCAGATAAATATTTCAAAACCAAAACTGAACACATGCTTGGATAAGTATGCTAAACAATTTATAAAGAAATTCAGCATGCCAGTAAAACTCATACCACAGACTTTTAAGTATCATTCTTAAGAGGGATATAATGGAGCACGACAGTGCTTGTATTTTAAAAAGCAGGCTAGGACAAACTAAGCGAGCTTTGAAATCGCTATTAGCAAGAGTGCAAGTCAGCTTTGCCAGCTGACTTATCTTAAACAAGCAATGTAATTTAACATTATTTATAAAACTAACTTCAAGCCATACAAATTAAGTACTGTAAAATAAACATTATAGTAGAAAACAACCTGATATGCTTTATGCTTACCTTTTACAAGCTGTGGCCATTCGGTGACATCAGGGTGATCACAATTTTGAGTCACTGATCAAAACTGAGTTGTCGCACCAGTCCTGTATCACGCTGGGCTAAGCATAAGCTTAACAATTCTAAATAAGTAAAAAATAATTTAGTTAAAAGTCCTTAAAAATTATTTTCAGCCAATCCTCTAAACAAAAAAAAAAACAAAGCAAGAAAATATTGATGCTAAGCATTGTTTCATCCGTGAGATTAACACTTACATTCATTTTTTGCATGGCATTCCAATTTACAGAATAACTCGCTACAGTACAATCAACTGGTAAACTTGAAAATTCAGGAACTTATTTTTAGTCTTTCTAAAAATCCAAAAGCCATACCCATCTCTTGAACCAGTAGAAAACACCCAATGTCAAGACAACAAGCATTCAAAGATCTGGAAGCGTATGCATAAATATGAACTGTAATTTCTAACTACAATAAAATTCTGGTAGATGTTGTGCTGCTACAACTCAGTTAACAGTTTCTTAGCAAGGCTCTGTTCCCAGGGGAGCAAAAAGTAACCAGAACTTTGTTGTGCGCCTCTCCCCAGAAAGAAATAAGCTACAGCTATGAAGAAATTTCAGAGGAGCAACCTTTGCTATCTATGGCAAATCTTTTCGTTTCTTTGCTCCATTTATATCATGTGTCCTCTCTCTTCTCCCTTAAATTTTCAAAAGTATATTTTACCTGTCAATTGCTTCCCGTGATCTGGCTCCACTGGTATAAACTGAAGGGTTGGTCCTTTACTTTGTCACGCAGGTGGCAGCCAATGATCACTCAGCAATACTCGTGCCCAGAGCGCCCTGGGACCACCCCAGCTGATTACTTCCATGGCTGAAAAGGAACCAGTTAGTCTCTTACCTACTGCTATTATCTACTCTAAACTAAAGTTAATGGATAAAATATTTCCAAACATAATCCTCAACACTCAATTCATCCCGTTCTCTCTCTCCCCCCCGCCCAAACTCCTAAGTGCACTGGAGAAAACCAGAAAAGAAAAAAGGCCTCTGAAGCAGAATTAGATGACAAACAGCATTCACTTTCTGCTAATATGAAATTTGGATAAAAACTGCAATGTTAATATTGTATTTAGTAAATAAAAAGTCATCTTACTTTTCTCTTAAAAGCAGTAGCTATGAAGACAGACCTCTGTATAGTATCCTGAGAAATTTATTCCTGTGGTAACCCAGATGAAACCCCACATTTGCAGGTTGCCATGCAGCAAAAGCCTCACACAGAATGAAGGTGCACAAAGCTATTGAGGGCACAACCACAGCTCTCTGCAACACCTGCAGACATAACAATCTGGTGCAAATACTAAGAGAGCACATCAGACAGCTTTAAATATTTAGTAAAAAATATTTATTTCTTTACTGCACCTTATTTTGTGCTTCAGTCATCCAACCTATTATAAGACTATTGCAGTAAGATCACAGCAAGGCTTATGATTTTCTGAAGTTTGTCAGAAAAGCTGCCCAGTTTTTCCAATCTACCACAATTTGCCATTCTGCCACAAACTCTGCACAGAACAAAATTTGTCTTAGTTTCAGAATGATGCTTATTAATTTTATCATTCACTGAGATAGGTACAGTGCCATCTATTGATTTTAACATCAGTAATAGTTGAGTGTTCTTATCATAAGTGCAGTTGACACAAGGAAAGTAAAAAAGAAGTAGGCTACCAAGTATCTCCAAAACAAAACAGAGGTTTTCCAGTACTTATGTTTCATAGGTGTAAATTGTCAAAGTTTAACTGAGTCAATGCCAGGAACACAGAATGATTAAAAGTCAGTTGGAAAGGTTCCTCATCTGTCAACATTACAGAACAGGGTAAAGATTTTCCATTTAATGTTTGTTGACCATCAGCTATACAGAAAAGCAACACCCAAGATGCTGATGCAAAACCAAGAAGCTGGAAAACACTGCTCTGCTTATAACATTCTGATTAAGACCTGAAAGCATCCACTTTCAGGTAAGCCCTAGTTTTGAGGAAACATGCTTATTCTAACACTGCTTTTAGCACTTTGCCCAAGTAACTTTTAGTACTCTGGTCAGAGGACAGTGGTATCATCTCTAAAGGCTCACTGGTTGGGAAACCTGCCTTCTGTCTGACTACTGGAAATACCAGCTCATGTTCTGGAGTGTGCCTGACTAATGACTCCCTACCTAGACCTGGTCCTGTATCACCCACACTACTAACAAAAGCTTATTACAGTAGTCTTCCATTCAAATTGAAGCATGCTGGAACACCAGGCTGCCATCAACCTTAGTAAAACTAAGATTTCCTAAGGCTGTTTCATATGGGAGAAGTCATGAACATGACTGACAACAGTGAAGGAGCACATGAAGTGCTGGTGCTGGATTCAAACACCACCAGACTTTGGAATGTTAAAAAGTATACATTAAGTTGGCAGCTCCACAGCCATAGTCAAGACAAGATTGTGCCAAGGCCTGATACAGATCCAACTCTGTTAGTCTGATTTACAACACCACTGAACATAGTATCTACAGCAGTTCTGTGATGGAAGGCAGTGTCTGAACTGTCACAAATCTCACTGAGCTGAAGTTAACTCATCCAAGTTTTGTTGTGAAATTTGTATCTACAAACTGAATTTGTCATGGGTCAGAGCTTTGAATAAGATAGTTTCAGCATTTCTTATTTGTTGCACAATACCTTAAAACTAGACTTACTGTATTGTGGTCTAAAATTCTCATGCTGCTTTTCAGCAGTCTAGATGCAAAAAACCTTAATGAATTCTTTTTCTCTTTTATCTCCTCATCCTACCTTTCCCACCTATCCCTGCTGCCACTCCTGTGGGACAGAATATGATTGGCAAGGATTCCCCAACACAGATGAAAGAATTAATTTTTCTAAAGCCTTACTCATTTATGCATCAGCAGAGTAGTGTCTGCTGGCAAAGAGACCAGCACGTTGAAACACAGGGTGGCTGGTGAAGGAGACTGCTATCAAAGATTTATTCTGAACACATTTCAAAGGACATTTTGGCTGCCTGATACAAACAAGGCACAAAACCCCCCAGCCTAGTTAAGAGAGTCAAAATACAGTACTTCGTTAGGAAAAGAAAACCACATTGAAGAATACACTATACCTTGGAAAACAGTAATATGAATTTTGAATTGGTCTAAACCAATTGCTTTTCTGTCACAGCAATCTTTCTGCAAAAAAGCTCCTCTGTTTGTAACTTACCTAACATAAAATACGATCAGCAGCCCTGGAGCAGATATTTTTTCATATTATTCAAAAAAAATTTCCCTGGTCCTCACTGTTATGATCAGCATGGCTTACAGTTTAGGCTTTTATGAACATACTGAGCAGCTGAAGGTACGAAAGGAAGTTTGTGCCTGTGGACTATATCCAAGAAACCCAAGATGTCAGCCAGGCTCTTTGGGACTGGGCAGGCTCCAGTACAGATACATCTGTGTCTGCCTAGTGACTGTTTACTAGTGGTAGAATCAACTAGGGCTGCAATAGCCCCTACTGCAGTTAGCAAGACAATAAACAAGGATCCATGTCTTCAAACCATGTATCTAAAGAACTTCATGACTTGAACTAGCCCTCATCAAAAAGGAAGAGGATAATTAATGTTTACGGACTGATTTGGAACAACATCTCTTTCTCCAAGATGGCACTTTCTTTTCTTAAAAGAAAAAAGAGATGTTCCTATCAACTCAAGGAGTTAAACAACAAGTGAAAGAATAAGATGTCAGAAAGCAAGTTCAGATGCATCAAAAGGGGCTAAAAGCAACTTTGTTGCATAGTTTGATGAAATATCTTGGCACACTTCATTAAACCTTGAAAGTCTAGGTGCGTGAGGCAAAAAGAGGTCCCCAACTTCAACATATGGAACCTAAAGTCACACCCTGGAGATTTTAAGTACTTCTTTTTCAGCAACCAAAAGAAGGCAAATAACTTCCAGGTACTAATCACTTATTTGAACACTTACTTGTTACTTACATGGATTCCCCTAAACATACTGCTATCCCTGGCTTATTTGATGGTCCCCTTCTGCGAGAGCAATGCAATCTGGCAGCTGACACACAGTATCTGAGGTCTAGGAAGATCCCCTAGAAGACGAACAATTTCCTCATTTAAATGATAACTTCTGATGGACTTATTAAAAGAGTAGCAACTCTTGTAAGAATTTTGGTTTCCTTTACAAAGGAATTTTAAGTATCTACCCAACTAATCTTTGATCCAAAGATTCTCTTTTTGATCTATCATGAGAATAGGGGTGATTCACTGTACTACAAAGTGCCATGGTCTACATTACCTTTCAGTACCAGAATTTGAGTTGCTTAATTAAATACAGCCATCTCTCTCAAGAATGTACCACTAAAGACAGCTTTTGATTGTCTTCTGAAGAATCGCTCTGAATGCCCCAAGAATGAATTTTGTAGATTTCTAGAATAACTTTGAGTACCACAAGGAAACAATCATCTATACAGTAAAAAACTGACACCTAAGACGAAAGTTGGCCTTTTATAACTTGAGATTGAGTCAAATGTCCTAGAGAATATTCACCAAACCCCTAAATTCAACCTAAATTGTCATATGCAGAAAAAAAAAAAAAGGTAATCTAATAGGCATGTTTGAGCCTATATTTCTTCATAAAGTTGGAAGTACAAATTACTTCTCTTGCCTGTATTCTGCTTCCAATGCACAAAACAAAAAAAAAAGTAAGTTTTCTTCACCTAATTAGTAGGCAAAATTATTACTGATTCTACAGTAAAATAAAATAGCCACTAATACAACTTGCTCATATAAATCTTAAGGGAGCCAAAAAAGCCCCAACCAAACAGTAATAAGGTTTCTATATTAATTTTTTTCCTGGTAAACCAAGCAATTCAACTAATAATAACAAATGCAAAATCACATTAGTTAGAAAACTGAAAGAATTGGGCTCTATCCTGGAAAATGCCAACTTAAAGTAACTAAAGCAGTCACAACTGATGTACAAATGTACATATGCTCCCATGTATTACAAAAAGAATGACAGATATGACTCATGAAGGCTCCCTGGAAGAGTATCTGTTCATCTGCACACAGTACTTCACACATCTTCCAAACTTAAACTCAGTTCTCCAATTACTCAATATTCTTCAGAAGTGTTCCAGCAGTGGTAGAAAAGAACCACAAAGACACCATGAAGATAGAAGAAAATGCCTTGTCATTAGATAATGAAATGAGTTCAAAGTTAATCAAGCCTACCAATATAGATACTGGAAGAAACTAAGTCTTCTTACAGCAAAAAAAGAATGAAGATCTTCCAATTGAAATAATGCATATAAAATCCCCATGAATACAAACTGAAGGCTGACAAGTTCAAATTAGAGCAGGAACACAAGCATGCAGGATAAGGAGAACAATTACCACTTGAAAAAATTATTTGGGATGGGAATCTGAATTTGCTACTGTTTTCAAATTAAAGTTAGTGCCACTCTGGAATTTGCATTTCAGTAAAAACACAAGTTATCCAGTTTCATAAAGGTAGAATTTTGTGCAACTCAATACAAAGACAGATTTACATAAAGGTTTCAGACTATAATAGCTGTATACTTTGCCCTGATGTCAATAGTCTCCACTGTACTGCATTTGTCTGGAATAGAGTTAATTTTCTTCATAGTAGCTAGTATGGGACTGTATTTTGGATTTGTGTTAACACAGGGATGTTTTTGTTATTGCTGAGCAGTGCTTTCATAGATTCAAGGCCTCTTCTGCTCTTCACCCCACCAGCGAGGAGGCTGGGGGTGCACAGGGAGTGAGGAGGGTTCACAGCTGGGACAGCTGACCCCAGCTGACCATAGAGACATTCCATATTATATGGCATCATGCTCAGCATACAAAGCTGGGGGAAGAAGGAAAAAGGGGGAATGATCGGAGTTATGGCATTTGTCTTCCCAAGTCACTGTTACATTTGATGGAGCCCTGAATTTCTGGAGATAACAGAATATGTGCCTGTCCATGGGGAGTGGTGAATTAATTCCTTGTTTCACTGTGCTTGCATGTGTAACTTTTGCTTTACCTATTAAATTATCTTTATCTCAACCCACGAGTTTTCTCACTTTTACTCCTCCGATTCTCTTCCACATTCCACTGTGTGGGTAGGTGATAGAGTGGCTGTTTGGTATTAGTTGCCAGCTGGGGTTAAACTATGATATCCATAAATCACAGAGTAACAGAAAAATATCTAATGTTTTCTCCCATTCCCTCCCCTCAGGCCAAAGCTAGAGGTCTGCATGTTATTTCCATTTTCTACAACCACCCCTGCAACTCTGGACTTCAGATTTCGCCTTCAACATCTGGTTTTGGTTCAGTATTTCAGTGAGAGCATATAAGTATTTTGTTCACCTTTGTAAAAGCAGGAAAGATCCAAAATTATTCTTCAGCTTCTGTGCTTTATACTTAGACCACAGCCGATTTTCTTCTTCCACTACACACAACTCTTGAGGTTTTTTTGCAGCAGAACCATTTGTTTCTATTTCAGTTATACCTGTTACTTCAGGCTCCCTTCCAAAATGATAGACAGCCATGAAAAAAAGCCCTTTCTACACCAGTAGGTGAAATCAAATCACCTATTTAAATGTCTTTCACTAACTCTCCTTTATTGGCTACTAATCATGTTATTTTGCAGGCAGGTAAGTTTTACAGTTTTGCTTTAGCTTTACTACTGAAACTTTTATTCTGTCCTTTTGTTTATGCTCTATTTTGATTTCTTTTGCCACTGATCTTTCATGCTGCCTTCCATGTAAAGCATCTTTCTGTTTACCAAGTTTCTTCAGCATGTTTGTTTAAATGTAATTGATATTAAAACCAAGCAACCATGCTACTCTGTAGCACGACATTCAGCTTTTCTGATGTTCCATTAGTATTTACTACTCACAATTTGTGAGGGATTAGAGGGGAATTCCTCATCAATTTATGAAGCACATACCATTAAAAAGACTCTATGCATACATACAGTGGCAAGCAGTTAAACGTCCATAAGAAAAGCAGCCAGAAGGAATAATGGCAATAAAGAAATAATGGCTTAGGTTTGAAGAGCCATCATACACAGAACTGGTATTGACACTGGAGAGCAAGAAGCAGGTGGGTGGTCCCAGTGGTGCTGTGGGTGCAAAAATGAATGTACACTACCTGCCAGATGCCTGCTAGAGTAAAGGACCAATCTATACAATTCTCTCAGGAACATCTGGATTGTGACAATGTAACACTGTAGCTTTCTCAGAGACTTAAAATTTTTAATTAATACCCACTACAGCTAAAGTTTCAGCATAGAATTAACAGTTTTATTAGAGCCTGTCTATAGCTTCCTATGAAACAGACCTTAAAAACACATCAAACAACTCTTCTGCAAATTTGAGATTACTAAATTTTAAGTATATTTCTAAGTTAATTATCTTGAAAAGAAAAATCCGGACATAAACCCATGACACAGAAAACTGGGATCAGCTGTGCTGTTACTTAGGTCTTCCCCACAATTTAAGTGGTTAAATGAGAAAGTGCACACATGGCTTAGAAACTGTTATTGAAATAACTACATACAATTTTATATATGCATTAACAGACCTATTTAATATGGCAGAAAAATTAACTTAACTGTGGTTTTTCTGAATGCAATGACGCTAAAAGTTTCAAAAATTCTCTGTGTACCAAGCTGCAGAACTACAGAACTTAAATAAAAGTGGTGCAGCAATACCAGGTATTACCAGAGAACTACACCAGAATTAAGTTAGGAAATGGCAATTAAAATAACTACAAGTTCAAGTTTCAACCTTGCCACAATACACACATACATATTTTTAAGCTGGCTGGACATTTAAGAGCCTAGACAAAAAATAAGATACCATGTGCCATGGGTTTATGTTAACACTGCTAAAAAGATTGTATTTCTGTATTTCTCAGCATTCCTATTTGTAAACTTGACTTACACTGATGATTGCATAAATTTTCTGCAAGTTCTGAACTTATTTGTCAAGTCATATCCTCACTATAAATATGTTTAGTAGCAAATTAAAAAAATCCATACAGCTTTCAGAAACACACCAGTTCTTATTCAATCCATAGAGAAATAAATGGATGGTAGCAGCATGATGATGAGCTTGTTAAATCAAAAGGGAATTCAGCGATGTTATATCATCTGTATTTATTTTCCCTGAGAAAAATCAAATAAGTCAGTTTTCTAGAGAATTATGACTAAGTAATAGATATTATAGTAAAAAAAAGGAAAAACTAATGTGCATCTTCCTGAATTAATTTTCAACCTTTTTTTTAAATCTCAGTGAAGAAAAATGTATTTGCTATTACTATTATTAGCATACAAACAATGTAAGTGGAAACATAAACATACCATATCTTTCCAGAGCTGCAGAATCTTGTTCTTTCAAATTCTAAAATAGACTTCTACAGTTCTTGTACCTATAATGCAAAATATTACAATTCAGTTCTTGCACTATGCTCCATACCAATCTGAAGCTCAATACAACTGCAAGTCAATACATTCAAAAGTGCCTATTTGATTAGTCACAAGACTGCAACTAAAGGAAACACGGAATCATAGAATATGTTAAGTCAGAAGGGACCTACAAGGATCATCATACCCAACTCTCCACTCCTCACAAGACTACCTAAAACCAAACCATATAAAACTAAATCACACTTCTCATAGAAAAGCACAACAGAAAATAATTATGTTAGATAAACTACAAAAGCATGAAGTTCATACAGTGTCCCCCAGTCTTTCCCCTGTAGTGATGCAATAGCTTTATAATTCCATTCATCCAGTTAATTGCAAATACCGATTTCCTTTCTCCTTTCCATACCTTATTTTGTCCTTTTTTTTTTTCTTTTCTTTAAGAACTAGCATTTTTAATAAGAAAAAAAAAAAAACTAAAACAAACCCAAAACATTTAAATGAAGTCACAAATAGAACCAAATCTTTGTTCTGGGTGCATAAAACTGAGGGAGTTCAGTATGCTTTCCTATAAATTTATTTTCATAGAAGTCATAATTAACAAGGGACTAAAACATAAGCGAAATATTTTCAACAAACACCAATAAGCACAACCAGCTTTGAGGGAAAAAACAGACACATATTCATATAACTAAAGAAAGACAAGGGGCTGTAGATTCCCCATCACTGGAACTGTTCAAAACCAAGCTGGATGGGGCTCTCAGTAACCTGGTCTAGTGAAAAGTGTCCCTGCCCATGAAGGGGGTTTGTAATTAGATTTTTCTTTAAGGTTCCCTACTAACCCAAACCATTCCCTGATTCTATGAAATCTACTAATTACTTTCATAAAAAGTTAGTAATTTGGCACACAATCTTACATTTTCAGTACTGTGATGATTTAATACATAATTTCTTGTCTTAGAACTCTATTAAGAGCAAACAAATCCAACACAGTTGATTTAGGCTTATCTCCAATATAGATCAGGGTTCCCTGATAGTTTCCCACATAGGAAACCCCAATCTGGTTACCTTAATAGCACATTCAATTTTATTTTAAAAGATGTCAAACCAGCAAGAAATCATCTAGTGTCAGGGGCCAAATTCTTTATCAGGGAGCTGAAATGGGGTGATCCTGGACCAGTTTTGCCACTAAAGCTCTAAGCACTAACAGCGTGAGCACATTTGTTTGTATTTAAAAAAAATTAGTTACATATGGCACCCTAAAAGTTTTGTGAAAAAAGACTGCTATTTCAACAAACAATTCTACTAATTATGTAGGTTTCTGCGCAGTTAAGATTACTGTGTTAATGATATGCAACTTCATCAATAAAACTTTACTATCATTCAGAAAAAAAAAATAAAAATAAAAATTTATCACAACAACATGAGACAGTAACTGATGGTTTTCCTGTTTGCAAGTAGCACTTCCACTCCATATCCACAGCAGAAATCCAAAATACCTTGCATTCTACTAAAGAATAATTCTTCATTCACAGTGGTGCCACCAGAAAGACCCAGTTAAAAGTATTCTGACAAATGCAACCAATATTTTCACACCCTGTATTGTAGAACTTCCAGATTCAATGTATACATTTGTTTCTGTACAGACATAGAGCAGTGTCATCTGCATAAAATTCTCTCAATTCCCCTCTAAGATACAAAAGCACAAATTTTCAGTGTGCACAGAGTAGGAGGAGAGCACCAAGTATAGCATGATAAAGGATTGCAAATACATCTACCAGGGTTCTTAGGATTATTGCCTGGCAATAGAGACAAAAAAAAAATGGTTCCCAAAAGAACTGAAGCTATGGAGTTGCGTAGGACCATACAACTGATACGGGAAACAAGACCACAACGGAGGAGATGTAGACAGGTTATTTGCATAATAACACACAGCAAGAGAAGAGCAAATCCAACAACACAAAACTGAAGTTCCTGGACTTCCAGCTCTTCTCCTTCAGTTTCTCCCCACTAGGTACCACTAAGACAGAACAGAGTTCAGCAGCCTACGCAGTCTAAAGTCTACATTTGCTCAAAGGCTACATGACAACACAAAAGGAAATAAGGCTCTGTAATGTGTGTCTAAAAGGAATGAAAATGATTTCATGAAGTCAGATGTACTTCAACATTCATCTTCAGTATATTTAATTAGCACTAAGCCACATCTGCCTGAAAAAATGCAAACAACGATGTGACTAAAAGCTTGGCCAACCTTATTGCTTCCACATCACATTAAATCTTGATTGATCATGTGACCAGAGCCAAAAAAAGCTGCTTGTTTACAACTATGCCATTATTTTCAGTAAGAAAAGGAGACTTCAAGGCACACAATTATTGTAATACAGACAGTAAAGCGTTGAATTAACCACACTGTAGCATATGTAATTACAAAATATTTAAGAAGTTAATTATAAACTACAAAAAATATTTTTCAACTCTCATGTCTGGCTCGATATCATGAAATCATCCCTATCAGGTGCTTAGATTATGTTTCCCACTTGTGGTTTTGATTTGTTGTGTTTGTCTAGTTTTATTCAATAACTGTAATACAACAGGAATAGAAAAAAAAAATCTGAGAGCACTACCCTAAAGAAATAATGCCTAGTATTATAAATTTTTTGACAAAACTTCAAATATTTAAGTTCAATTAAAATTAATTTTTTTCACAACTAACATTCTTAACAGTAAAGAAACAGTAAACAAAAATCATATTAGCCAAGTAAAAAAACAAGTATTAAACATCCTTCTTTCAATCAGATACTCAGGTTATAGGAAACATGCAAATGGAGTATTTTCCACAACCTTACTATGGAAAGGGCTCAATCTTTGCAAACAAGAAATACCAGGGTTTCACAGAAGTGATACACTGTCTCAGGAGCTCCCTTGTCCTTGAAATCTGATGGGATTTGCAGGCTGTGTGGACTCTTTATGTATTTCTATTGGCTACAATAAGCAGGTTTGGTACACCAGCTGAAACACAAGGTGTTGCTACTCAGCCAGTGTACACTACTATACCTTGGACTTTCTAAAAATAGACCTGGGTGTACACACGTATTAAAACACAATATTCGTCACCAAGACTTTGGACAGGAGATTTCACTACGCAAAAACAAGCACTTATCTGAACATACCTATGCAAATAAGAAATATGAAAAATTGTATTTGAAACAGAAATTCTGAGGTAGTGATAGACCTCTTTGCTATTATCTAGCTTTGCAGAAGCTTTTGATTTCTTTTAAAAAAATGGAAAATACCATACTGTAAAATAAGACTATATAAAGCATTAGCTAGCTCAAACATACAATTAGCCATACTGCAAAAGCAAAACTAGTCTACGACTATGATAGCCTTTCTTGAAGTATTTAGACCTACGTCCTATTTGAGAAATCCAGTTCCTTTAAGAGGCACCACCTGCTAACAGCCCAAGCCTGCTGAACTGCAGCTGCTCCAACCTGGGTCCCAGGGAGCATACCAGAGCAGGAGTACACAAGTGGTGCCAGAGCCTGGCTGCCTGGACAAGCCTGGCAACACAAGATCACTCTTGTGCCTCCCCTGCTCACAGCTCCTAAGGGTAAGGGAGAGGGTGTTTGTCATCCTGATCTTCTCATTTCATTGATTTCTTTGGTGTAATGATTATCAATGAAGTATTAAGAAGTCCTAAAAGTGGTCTGCCAAAGGAAGCACGGCCTTTTCTATGGGAAGATGAACTACCTTCACACCTACAACTCCACCTCAGTCAGAAGTCCTGACACAGTCCTCACACAACACTAGAATGAAACACAAATTATGTGGACTAATCATTGCCAGACCATTATGCAACAACCACAAAACAGAGGCTCTGTAATTTTCTGCTTGTGATCCTACCCATCCACAGGCCACCAAGATCAAACTTCCTTTAGGTTTCAAACCACTCTTTAGTTTTTGATAGTTAAATTTTGTCTTTAGTTGTTGAAATCACAGCTTTGACGTGCTGTTACACGAGGAAGGAACATAAAGGCACATGGAGGACAGAGGGATTTGAGACAGCTAGCATGGCTTCACCAGGGGCAAGTCCTGCTGGACCAACCTAGTGGCCTTCTATGACAGAGTGACTGCCATCAGTGGACAAGGGGACAGCTACTGATGTCATCTATCTGGACTTCTGTAAGGCCTTTGACACAGTCCTCCACAACATCCTTCACCCTAAACTGGAGATAAAATGGATGGACTCTTTAGTGGATGAGGAATTGGTTGGATGGTTGCATACAGAGGATAGTGGTCAATGGCTTAATGTTCAGATGGACATCAATGACAAGAGGTGTCCCCTCAGGGGTCCATACTGACACCAGTATTGTTTTAGTAGCTTCATCATTGACAGACAGTGGGACTAAATGTACCCTCAGGAAACCTGCAAACAATACCAAGCTCTGTGGTATGGCTGATATGCCTGAGGAATACAATGTCACCCAGAGGGACCTGGACAAGATTGAGAAATGGACTCATGGGAACCTCATCCAATGAGGGCAAGCGCAAGGTCCTAAACCTGGGTTGGGACAACCCCTGGTATTAGTACAGGCTGCGGGATGAGGGAATTGGCAGCAGAAGTAATTACAAAAGAAGCTGGAGATCCTGGTTGTTGGAAGGCCAGCCTTGTCCCAGCAATGTGTGCTTGCAGTCCAGAATGTATCCTCAGCTGCATCAAGAGCAGCATGGCCAGCAGGCTGAAGGAGACCAGTCTGCCCTTCTACTCCTCTGAGACCCCACCTGGAATCCTGCATTCAGCTCTGGAGTCCCCAGCACACGACAGGCAAGGACCTGTTGAAGCAAGTCCAGAGGAGAGCCACAAAAATTATCAGTGGGCTGAAGCAGCTCTCCTATGAAGAAAGGTTGAAAGAGTTGGCATTGCTCAGCCTGGAGGAGAGAAGGATCTAGAGATACCTGTATGCTTTTGTTTAATACTGAAGAGGAGCTTACAAGACAGAGGAGGATAAACTTTTTACAAGGGCCTGCTATGACAGGACAAGAGATAATGGCTTTTAGTTGAAAGGCAGTAGATTAAGACCAGATATAAGAAAGTAATTTTTCACAATGAGGGTGGTAAAACACTGGAACAGATTGCCCAGGGGTAGGAGATGCCCCATCCCTGGAAACATACACAGTCAAGCTGGGCAGGGCTCTGAGCAACCTGATCTATTTGAAAACGTCCATGCTTATTGCAGAGGAATTTGGACTAGATGACATTTAAAGGTCCATTCCAACCCAAACTATTCCAAGTCTGTGGGAAAAAAAAGTGATGCACTCCATATCAAACAGTCAAGTGGTACATCAGTTCAAGTCATCCTATATCCACCACCACCGTAATGCAGCTCTGAGTGACAGTTCCACTTCTGTCATACCACATAAGATAAACATGATTCTTGGAAGTAAATTATGTTAGTACACAGAACATGTTTAGAAAGTTACTCGAATGGATGGAAACAACAACACTTTTCAATGAAAAGTACTGGGACAGCTACATACTGTGAATGCCCTTTTCAAGCCACCAGATAAAAAAAAAAAGAATTCAATGCTCTGCTTTAGAGCTAACTAAAAGCTTCTCTAATAAAACATATATACTTCTGTTCTAAGGAAATGCAAGTAGCTTCAAATGAAGCAGATCACCCCTCTTACCTAAGATAGTGAAGTGAGGGTCCAGAAGGAAGCCACCCATTTAGTTCCACTCAGCTGAACAACTGCAGCTTCTCCTAATTCTTCACCACTCTGTAAAACATGGGTAAAGAACCATGCAGGACGGTAACGGAAAGTATCGGTAAAGACTGACTTCCACCCCCTTCCTCCATTCAGCAGTTTGCATAATACAGGGAAGCAGGCTCAACCTATTAAAGTAAGTAAGAAGGAGTTAATGCTTCCTTTAAGAGATTCATTCATAAGAGTATTTGTTAGACAGAACTATGATAATATTTAATTTATAATGTAATTCTGCACCAAGCAAGTTATTTTGTCAATAAGCTCTATCCCTCCTAACCACAAGAAGGTGCAGCTACTCAAAAATAGCAATTTAAAGTGCTATTTAGTCAGATGTTACACTGCCAAACCTGAATCCTGGATCTCAACATTATTTGATTTTCATATTCTTCCTATGAGGTTATTTTCCTGAAGAAATGTGTCACCAGCTGCTGTAGTTCCTGAAGTGGCGTTTGTTGCAAAATGTTACCTTTAGACAGTATTTGCTGACTTTCTGCTAACCAACCAGGTAATTACACACATTACTAGTCTATGAACCAGCTTTTGTCCAAACTTTTATTTATGCGCAATACAGCCTTATGAGGCCATCAGGCACTGCCTGTTAATACAAGAAGTTAAAGCAGTAAATGCTAAGGTAAAAGTATTTAAGGTGACAAAGCTCGCTTCAAACATGAGATCTGCTCACTGCTATTGTCTCTGGGAACCAGATATTTAGCACAGCTTACAGAACTTTTGTGAGGGGGTATTTTTTTTCTTTAGAAAGTAAACAACATACTCTAGATTTTTTCATTACAGACCCTGATAGCAAATGTATTACTGCCCTCCTTCCAGGTACAAATCAAAATTTGATTTGTGACAGAAAACCTTTTAACACTGCTTTCTAAAAAAATCACAGCTACCTTAAATACACTGGATACTTCGGAAAAATTGTAAAATACACCTCCTTTGTTTAAAAATCAATATCAATTCATTAATTAGAGTAAAGACTTGGCCCACACTACCAGAAAGGAAGATTGATGCTGGAAATGAGATCTATGCCTACATACTTTATGAATTCTGTTCCCTTTTCCCTCAATTGCATGTTCTACTTTTAAGAATTAGTGGCTTTCATCTTCAGGTGTATGAGTACATTGGTGTGGGGAGGGAGAGACATTTCCTGCGTTTAAAAGAAGATTAATTCTCTCTGGACATTCACTAAGTAAACTAAAACAAAAAGTAACAGAGGGGGGGGAAAAAAGTCTTTCCTGTGCAGCAAAAATTAGGATGATGCATATTTACAAAAACATAAAAACTGAATTAATTCCATGATAAGTGTCATATAATGTACTATGCTAAATACTGTTTACAGAAAATGTTGTATGTTTAAACATGCTCACAATTAAACATGTTCATAACGTAAAACTCAAAGGTATTTCCACCCCCATTATTTATCTGGTTAAGCAGAACCTGTCAATTCTGAGAACTAGTGAAGAATATGTCAACAAAGGACATAATCATAATGAAACAAGCATGATTTTATACTGTGAGTGCTGGGTCCTGGTGGTACACATGACATTTTATACTTTCAAAGGAAAAGTTAAATTATATGAAAAATAACCTGGTTTATTTTCTCAAGTTGATTAAAACAATTGGGGACAACTTCCAGGTACTCTAACAGGGACTCCCAACAGGGTGAGAACATCCCTAGACGTATTCAACATATACACACAGTTTTCAATTCCATTCACAAAAGGGTCATCATTGCCATGTTTTTAAACAGCAGCAGCAATTAAAAAAAAGGAAAAGACCAGAAGTCTTGTTTGTTATTAAAAAGGAAAGGATCAAACCCACACAACTTTAGAGTTCTAAAGAGGACTTGGACTGAGAAATCTAGGCTTTAAAACACACTGCTGTTCAAGCCTGATTTTTTTTTACAAAGTCACAGAATCATACCCTGAAATAAACCTGAATAAATCAAACATTCATTTTGGTATCTCTTGGTGCTTTTATTTCTATATTCTTGGGAAATGCTCAGGACACTCCAATGAGGAGAAACAGCAAACACCTCTGATAAATAAAACGAACTTCTTAATTCCAGCAGGAAAGATGCTACTACATTAAATAGCAAACAGAGTAGAATGGAATATAATTGTAAAAGACAGATGAAGCATCTGTAATATTGTACAGAAATAATTTCAATTAGAAGTATTAGCTCTAATTTAAGTAGGGGGTTAGGTTTTCTTTCACTATTTTTCTGTACTGAGTTGACAGAATGATACTGCATTACAGACTGCATCTGTTTTAAAAGACAAACACGTGATAGTTTTCTCCATATATCCATATCTATTTAGCAATACACATTTCATACTTTCAATTCAAACACTCAACTAAATTGAGTTTTCCCCTATTTTCAAATTTCTAAAAGGTACCTTCAAATGTTTCCACAATGAAAGGGCACAGCTATTCAGAGCCAATGTCTAAACCAAGCAGTTTGTGAGAACTGTAGGCCCATTTTCCAACAATTTTCATTCTTATCAAGAAGTACACCTCGCACTATCTCCATCGTTTCCCTCTCCCCCCATCATAAGCATCTAACAACACAGTACAACTCAGAGCATGGCTTCTCTCTTAGCAGGGAATCTCTCTAATTGGATGCTATTTGCATGAATTAGGAACTTAATCTTATCTTTTAGACCTCTCCCTTTCAAACCAGTCAGCTATTCAAGAAAAAAAAAAATAAAAGAGAGAGAAAGAAAAGAAGATAAATTGACAATACAATCATGCAAGTCTTACTTTGTTAAGAAATCAAAGCTAAAATCGGGTACAATTTTCCACTGAAAAACTTTCTGCTAGACATGCAAGAAGCATGGTAAAACCACTGAGAAGCTGATTTCTCACAGGGCTTCAGGTTTGCAGACTCTTACTGAGGCAGGTAAGTTTCCATACAGACAGAGGGACCATCCCTGAAGTGATGTGTAAGACACGCTTAGTCCGAGAATTAGACCAACACATTGCACAGAAGGAAACATGAACAAGTATTTCCATTAACCGGAGAAAAAAGAAAAGGAATAACTACAAGTCTATAAATTACAGGTTCTTGTCACTTAAAGGAAAAATGTGAAACTTATTTTGTTTCTTAAGTAGTAGTAACTTCTGAATAACCACAATACATCATCTTAGACATCTGATTTACAAATCAATAGTAAACTGTAACATCCCTTAACAGAAATACTGTAGGTATGCCTAAACACTGAAGTCCAGAAGTTCTGCAGCCAGGAGCGACAGATCACATGCATCAGCAAGGCAGCCTGCTCACAGGTTCAGATCCAACTCTTCAGACTGGACAGAAGGTAACACGGTCAACTGATAGACCCACTTTGTCAAAAAGGCCTTGGCTATTACTTAAGAGACCCTCGCAGTACTTCCCATTCCGGCAGCCGGCCGCGCCGCCGACGGCACCGAGCCTTCCCATGCCCACAGCAGCCCCGAAGAGCAGCCACCGAACCGAGAAACTGAGGCAGGGGCAGGCTAGGTTCACCCAAGGTCGCCCAGAGAGCCCGGTCTCCCCAGGGGGGCGGGAGAAGCTCGGAGTCACCCGCCCGCCCGGCCTTCCCGGGGCGGCCCCGCACCCATGTGTCTCACGGCGCGGACGCAGAGGACCCCCGGGGCTGCCGCCTTCCCCTCCCCGGCGCGGGGGAGCTGGCAGGGCCGCGTCCCTCCCCTTCAGGGCCAGCGGGAGCCGAGCGCCATCCCCGCTCCCGGCCCAGCGCAGCGCCCACACCGACCTGGGCACCTCGGCTGCTGCTCCCGGGCGCTCCCGCCGCCACTGCCGCCCGGGCTCATGCGGGGGCCGCGCCGCACTCGAGGCCGGGCCGCGGGCAAAGAGGAGGCGCCGCCGCTGCTGCTACCGGTGCCGCCGGAGACGCGGCCTGGCACGGCGGGGAAGGAGAGGCGGGCGGACGGGCCGGGCCGGTCGAGCGCGTCTCCTCCTCCTGCTCCTGTGTCGGCCGGGCCGCGCTCAGCGCGAGCCCCGCACCTCCATCTTGGGACAACGCGGATGTCGGCGCGGCGCAGGCTCGGGGCGCGCGGGGGGGTGCGCGGGAAGGAGGGAGGGAGAGAAGGAGGGAGAGAAGGAGGGAGGACCGGCCGTGTCCCGGCGTGCAGCGCGGGCGGGGGCGAGGCGAGGCGAGGCGGCGGCGGCGCGCTACCCACCGCGGGCAACCATAGAGATCTGCCGGGCCGCGCCTTCCGGCCGTGTGCACTCGCGGCGGCGCCCGGCGGGAG